TTTGCGGGTAGATGGGAAGGTACTGAAAAAAATGAGTCGTTTTCACGAGGTATATCCATTATATTGGTTGCATCAAACAATGTACTACAATGAAAGCATTGGGACATCAAAATATTTACATTAGACAATGATACAATGGAACGGAGGGCGCGGTATGAGGCAGAATGTCGGCATGGATTTTCAATTATAATGATTGTTGTAGCGAGACTAAGTAATAATGTATAGCTTTAATATCCAACAAGGTCAAAGAAAAGAGCGTCCCAATACTTGAAAGGAATGCACTCGCATGCTGACATTGAAGAATGTCCATGGGCGGCATCAGATATCAGATAAGCCTGTATAAAAATCTGGAGCTTCGTAGCAATAATAAAAAAATTGTCTCACTCTGGATCCGCCCTTGTACCCTGCCTCACCACCAAGTTCAGGGATACGGATGTCTGGTAATACAACATGGCAAGTATATATAAACTATATACATGAATATTTGCTTCGAGGTCGTGGAAGCGATGCTAATGTGTCAGTATCTCGACACAATAGTGAGATATCTGTATTATTTTTATATTATGATGAAACTGCATTGTTTGTTATCGTCGTTCATATTTTATTGAGTTGTTTATAGGACGTAAGAAAACGTTGATTTGCGGCATATGGTAAGTCTCATCTGATGTTAAGGAGCGTTCAAGTATTACGTCACGCAATTTTTGAAGATTATTGAACCCCCCCCTCATGTTACGCGCCGTAACGTTTTTCTGTACCTAATAGTAAAACGTTTCGTGACCACCCGGTGACTCTTTATACCTAAAAGTTACCATTATGTGGTGTAAAGTACTGGAAAGTCGAAAATAATATTAACAATAATGTGTAATTCAATCCCCGCCCCGCATAGTAACGTTTTACTAAAGGACCCCCCCTCCCAAAATTCGTTACGTAATACTTGAAGGACCCTAAGTCTAATTGGTTTGTAAATACTTCAGTGGGCAGCTGGTTCCTCTGGTGGCGGAAAATACTGGCTTAAAAAATGCTCAGTTGTGGAATGACGGACGTTGAGGTGATATAGAATTTCGTATTCCGCCACGACGTCCGATGATGGCACTCAGCTGAACACTCCGTGGTAAACGCGGTATCAGATGCAGATACCCCAAATCTCTACGCAATGCCGGTATCAAGCCGCTCGGAAAGAATGCTTTTAATTCGATGACAATTAATATGTCACAGTTACCAACGTTACGTCAAAGTATGTTTTTTAATGAATACTTTGTAACTTATTATCTTGGTTTACAGATTATCAAAAGTTTACTCTGTCATAACCAAAAACAATAGAGATTTTGGGAATTTTGACAAGAACCATGTTTATACGTTTATCTAAACTTGGCTTAACCCTGACTTCGAACATTTTACGATAAAGACTTATCCTAAGTTATGTTTATGTGTTGGCAGGTGTTTCCAAGAGCAGATGCGTTTTAATTTTATCGGAAGTATAAGGACTTTTATAAATCGCTAATTGGGTTGGTGAACGTATTAATTGATAGATATTTACCATTAAAACTACAAGTCTAAGAAAACGTGAGATTTTCTATATAATAGGGGGCAAACGAGCCAACGGCACACCCATTTTTAGTGGGTGAGTTGCTCAAACTCCAAGAAATTACATGGTTTCTTTCAATTTTTCGTCATCGTTTCTTGAAGTAGGGGAATGCAAAAAATATATGGTGGACTGGAGTAGTTTATGTATCCATTTTGAAAGGTCGATACACGTTTTAAAAATCCAAACATAGCCAATTTTTGACACTTTGAATTCATTTTATGACGAAAATGTATATAGAACATGATTTTGAAATTTACACGATATATTTTAACGCACACCAAATAATCCATTTCAGAAATAAAAAAAATTACATTAATTTAATGTTTTACATAACTAATTGTTATTACGGGCCGGCGAGCCTCAGTACTCCAGCTCTCCACTGCGCCCCGCAGTCCACCCCGAGACACTGACAGCAATTCGTGCTGGGACAGGGCCTTAAGGGAGCAGTACCCAGTACACTCTTACTTTGAATAGTTAATTGAATAAGTTTTTGTTTAATCGTTACAATAAATAATGCCCTACTAATGTACGTCAAGCAGAGTTGGACGCATTAGCGTGCGAGACATCCTTCAGGTCGTAAGTTCGAACGGTTGTGCACCAATGGACTTTCTATGTGCGCGTTTAATGTGAGGAAACCAGCATTCATGAGATCCAAAAACATCGATGGCGTGTGTTATACAGAAGGCTGATATACGTGCCTGTTAGAAAAAATAAATGTTCACGAAACAGAAATCTGAGGCCCACAGATAAATGGTGTGGAGTGCTACCGGTTTCTTTAATAATTATTTTTATTGCAAAAATTAAGTTTATTTTAAATAGTACTACAATGATTGTAATAATTTCGACTTCGATTTTATTTGGATTAAGATTGCATACGTTTTCTTTATCTTATCAGGTAAATTTATTGATTTAAAAAAAAATCGTATGGTATCACTAAGTTTGTGGTGGTGGGAATACAATATTCATTAGGATGGTTGCTCGTACTGCATTAGGATGCAAATAGTAATGATAAATTAATGTAATTAACGTATTGTAATTATTTTGGTATGTAGGTTAGCGGTAATAAGAGTAATTTACGTACAAAATATGCCTTTTCCGCTAATAAAATGTGTAGATAACATATTTTATGAGGCTGAAACAGACCGAGGAAAGACAAAATCATCATTTTTGAAATTTGTACCCTATCACTTGAGTGTGTATACAAGTTTAGTGATGAGAGCCAATTTAATTTGACGGAGACCATGGAGGTGAGATAAAACAAAAGACACCTTATTTAGCTTGATTGTGATTGGTGAATCAAAATGCGCCATCTTGCCTTTGCTTCTAATTCTCATCACCTGTGAGGATTCAAGTCCCATATCCGGTTCAGATTATAATTAAAACATTAGTCGTTAGTATGTCTGGGTAGACCTGTAAAGGCTTATAGAAAGTTTTTTGCAGGCTAAAAACAAGCTTTTAAGCGTAAAAGTTAACTTACATAGTCAAGGTCATCGCAGATAATAGATGCTTCTTGATGTGTATTCCGTCCGTCTCCGAGCCAATTTCTGAATAGTCGTCCAAGGCCAAGCTTCCCCGTAGGGCGCCCTTGGGCACCCGAACATTGGACTAGCGTTCACGCGGTTATTTACCGTTTAATATTAAAACTGTTTGCGATTTTATTCAAGTGTTGCGTACACTATCCTAACCTAACCTAACTTTTTATCTTTAGTAAGTGGCTTATCAGTATAGCTCAATGACACTCAATAGCTCGAATGCTGATTTTTGTTGAGAAAGGGTTTACATTCGAATAAGCAAAGGTCGCAACATGAATGTAGCACTTATGGTAAACCATGAACGTGTTTTATATTAATGCAAAAGATATGTATGAATACAAACTGTGGTTAGGATCACCTATATTGAATAATTAAAATAATATATTATAGAAAGATAGTGCTTATACACATGGATATTAAATCTATAATTCTATGTAATATCCCGTTACCAAGAAACAAGGCGAATGATTGATTGTGAGATCGCGTCGGTCGCGCTGACCTTGGATGTTCGAGAGAGATAGCACCGGCGAGGTGTGCGAGCGAGATAGATGCGTAAGCCGACAACGTGGTCAAAGCACGTGGTTTTTAGGTTAGAAAGATTACGCAATGTTTGAACGTGGTGTATACTGTGACAATTGACTTGAAATTTCCAAAGACAAGCCGGTCTTCTATATAATGTAACATCGAATTGGAGACGCCAACACAAATACAGAAATAAAACTTTAGGGTTATATTTCTAGATGTTTTGAAAAGTTATTGATTATTTATAAATACATAGCTTAGCTTGTGACAGTTTTATGACGTGTGTTGTGTTTCTCTACATTAGTGAACCATGGTATTAATTGTAATTTATATTGAGTCGTTTTTTCGCAATTTACGTAGAAGCTTAGTAATAAGGCGCCAAAATTTTTTGTCATAAACAGCTTTCTCAGCCAAGTCACCTGACATTAACTTTTATTGGTTTGTGAATATTAATTAATATAGATACGATTGCGATATTATAAGTGTCATACACGGAAGTGCTTTAAACATTTGGAACTTAAATAAGTATTATGAAATTTATGTAATATGGGGTGATAAGATTAAGATGATATATTTTTGAAATATAGTCAAAATTGAGGAGAAATTTAATTAGTAATGAAACAATAGCGGTTGTGTTATCTCGAAAATTTTTAAATTATATAAACATTTATTTGTTGGCAAAGTAACAATTCGCTTAATTAGCGGCCTTGTAGCCATGAGATATAATATATTCGTGTGACATATAGTATGTTAATATTGACATTTCGAATAGGAAGACATTTTCGATTTCATTTTAACCAGTTTTCAACTTAGATTATGATGAGTTTTTGGGTCAGACAGAAATAGGTAGTATTTTTTAGATCAGTCAAGAAAGAGTTAGAATTGCTTTGAATTATTTTTTTAGACAATATAAAAGTTGTTTATTAACACAAATATATTAAAAACCGAAATTATAGTACATATATATTTATTAAAGAATTTGATTAGATATTTCCGATAATTTTCTTTCGTTTATAGATTTTATCGATTTATATTCTATTTCTATATGCTATGGCTCGGCCACACATAAGAAAAAAGAACTTTTTAGAAGAAAAAAAAAACATTTTAATACTCGGGTATTACACAAATTAAATTAGCTAAAGGAAAAAGATTAGATTAGGTGTAGAATTCATGTGGTATTTAAGAGTCTTAGTGTATTCGGGGCTTACGTTTTATTTTGAATATACTTAACTATTTGTATTATACAGAAACCAGCAAATAATTTTTTCTAAATTGAACCAAAATATGTGCTACTAAAGTGACAGTGTGTGTTAGTCTAGTGTTAGTGTAGTAAGTCCGTAATTGTGAAGTCTTGTGTTGTGATGACTGCCGGCGTGGCTACCAAGCGCAAATCGCGCTCGAGGAAAAGCTGGGCGCGAATTGAGAATGACACGCAGGTGATTATTTTAGTAAATCTTTGGGGGTTTTTATTAGTAATTTGGTTTTTGGATTGTGTTAATTATTTAACATAATATTATGTACTACGGCCCTTCAGGCACCTAGGTTCCCCAATAAATATCTATATAATGGTGTCTGTATGGAATATATAAGTTGTGTTTATAATTGTTTCGTGTTAAATTCGGGTTTACTTTAGTTTAGGTATTTTATTTATGTTATGTTTTGTACTTGTAACAATCAAGTTGTGATATGCACCGACTCAATTTTGTTTAGTCTGACGATAATTGATAGGATTAATTTAAATTATTCAATAACTAAACGTAATTGGAGTGTTTTAGAGACGTTTTTTTAATAGTATTATAAACAGTTACTGTGAAATTCTACACGAAGCGAATACATTTTTCATATATTAAAATGTTGTCTAACGTGAAAAACTTGTTTGGTTTAACGCGACTAATTCAGAGGGTAGAATCATAAAATACGTGAAGGTGTAATTAACAGTACAGCGATTTAAATATCACTAACGTAACTTTGAAGAATACAATCTAAATTTACTGTCATTTATCAAGGGCATAGAACAGACGTGAAGTGGCAAGAAACTCTTCGCTACTCATAAATTAGTTAAAGGTTTATCAGGCTATTGAACTAACCCTATGTTTGTCAACAGGCATCAGATTTCACGGATATAGGCGATTGGCCGACGCTAGGCGCTGCTGTGGCCGCTCGGTGTCATTCGACACCGCCGCCGCACGATGACCCCGCGCACCATAATGGCAATGCGGTGAGTTTTCATTTGGAGTACGTTTGTGCCTTTTAGGTCTTGGTCTGGAAGAACACATCCCATACCGTATCTTTTATGAAGTCCGTAGATTTGTTGTCGGTGAACACAAGGGCCACCACAGCTGCAGCTATCAGATATTTAAACAATTGCTATCGACTGTGACAAAAACAGTATTCAAACCACGACAGCTTTTATGTGCACTGCTGAATCCATACGCTGACACACCCAGAACAAGCAATGCGGTTAAAAACAGCCAGGGTATAGCTTGGGGCGATAGACGGTTAGTGCAGGAGATAATGGTTACTATTCCTTAGTGGGAACTCGGTGATCAGCCGTTTGTGACTTTTTTGGAGGGCTTTTTAATGCAGGAAGATGGTTCTTAAAGATGAACTGATAAATGTGTTGACATGTAGGCACAGGTTCTGAATCGAACACATAAAGACGGTACTTCGAATAATAATTAATACTACCCACATTTTTATAATTGCTTCGTTACGTGGATAGGTTATTTTCATGAGGTGTAGATAATGAAGTTTTTGCGTTTTTTTTTAAAGTTAAGAGTAGAGAGAAGATATTTATTATATAATAAAGCCTTTTTTTTAATAAATGATCTTTACATATTTAATTTCACGAGTAGTCTTTTTAAATGAAGATAGTTTCGGGAATTGATTTTTACGTGTGTTTATATTAAATAATTATTCGATTTGTATTGTGTAGTACTGGCAAAGTTATTCTTGTTATAATAAATTGAATGTCAATATTTACAGGACCAAGAGAGGAACCCTCCAGAAGAACAGCCCAAGCCAGAAAAGGTGGAGCAACAGAATCACATCGATAAACACGCGCATAGCGACAAGAATAAGAATACTGGTAATTTTATATTTTTACTTACTTAAATTATTTTATTTATATTATCACGCCTTTTACCCGAGTGGTAGGCAGAGACCACAGCCGTGCGATTCTGTTAATCCGTGAGTTCACCTCGCACCAACAAACGCTCCCTTCGTCACTCACGTCATTTTTGGAATGTCATGATATTCTGTTAAGCAATTTCACATTACGTCTTGACAAGCGGAGGGAGCTTGTAGTTTATTGTTTATCAGAATGCCAAATCGTAAAATGACTGCTTCACGACTGATTTGAGCGCGACCGCCGCTCCGAAACACATTGTGAGAGTTCGAAAAGTGAGTTACAGAATCGCAAGGTTGCTCTCTTGCTACAGTCCTGACATACCTCTCTCGCTTCATCCACTTTCATGACATTCACCGTGCATGCTCGTCCCGTTTGGGTACTTTAAAATATCCCTTTTCTAGTACCTCCTGCTTTTGGCTGGCTTGGCTGGTTCTTGTTCATTCGTTCATGACCGAACCACCAGAGCATTCCCTTTTGTGTCCATGTCTCTTCTTTTAGCCCACACTGCTCTCATATCTTACTATCCTATGAATGTTCCACTACACATACCTCTTAACAATCTCATTTCCATGTCATTTCTTTTACTTTCTTTCGTTCTCTGCTACACCAATATATTATTACTAGCTGCCCCCGCGAACTTCGTTTATCCTTAATGTGATTAACTTAGCCTACCTTTTTAGTACACACCAACATGGAACACTTTGCTATGCTACCCCAGAGACTGATCGGTTTTCTGGAATGAAAACTTTTTAGGGTTTTCTGTGATTTTTCTCTATATAAACCTCAGAGTTCAAGTTATAAGTTCTTAACTAACAAATAAAAATAGGGGTTGATCGTTGAGAGTAGATGAAAATTTGTATGCTGTATGAAAAAAAAAAATGTAAAAAAATTGTCTAAAAAATAAAAGACAGCCCTTATCACTTAGGGGTAAGAAATATAGATAGTAGCCGATTCTCAGACTTACTGAATATGCATAAAAAATTTCATAAGAATCGGTCGAGACGTTTCGGAGGAGTATGGGAACGAACATTATGACACGAGAATTATATATATTAGATTAGTATAGCAATAAATGTATAATTTCAGCTGGAAGAGGCGGTAATAAGTCGGGCAAACATAAATGGGTGCCGCTGGATATTGATGTGAAAGCTGCTCGTCCGGGCAAGCATGCTGCTCAACATAATGCCAGGCAGGATAACGGTATGTATATATTATGAGTATATATACTATAGCCTCGTGGCTTCAGCACGCGACTCTCATCCCTGAGGTCGTAGGTTCGATCCCCGGCTGTGCTCGAACGGTGAAGAAAAACATCGTGAGGAAATGTCGACATGTCTTAGACCCAATAAGTCGGCGGCGTGTGTCACTGGAGGCCTGATCACCTACTTGTCTATTAGATTGAAAAATGAACATAAAACCGACACAGAAATCTGAGGCCCAGACCTAAAGAGGTTGTAGCGCCTGATTTATTTTTAATTTTTATTTTCCATAGATACAGTGTCCCTGAATGGGGAAGACAGACAGAGGGGTGCTACACGCGGTAGGGGCGCAGTAAGGGGTGCAAGGGGGGTCAGGCGGCCAGGTCCCCGTCCTGCATCCGTTCACTCGCATCCTCATCCGCTGTACCATCACCCGGATTATCCGCATCACGATTTGGCACAGGTGAGATTACATTAATAAATAGTTTTAGACATTTCTTATTGCTTTTGTTAAATTTTAGCCAAAAGTCAATCTTGGGCGCTCTCAAATGTCATTTGACAGATTTAGATGAAAGCTTATTACCCCTTATTTATATAAACAAAATCACCCTCTTAACTTATCTTTTGTATATACAGTAAAAACCGTTTAGAACAACATACCGGGGTTATATTGACCAAAATCAAAGGTCCCGGCTGAATTCTATTGTTTTACATTCTTAGCAACGTCATCGGCTGTTACGACTATCGGTTTTTACGACCAAATATGAGTTAGAGTCTGGCTAATGAAAGAAGGTGATTAAATTATTTGAAAACTTTCGAATGGCAACACATAATGTCTTTGAATATCTTAGGTTAGTATGATTTATTGTCTTGATACTTCATGCAAATACTCATTTTTATTTCTATTATATATTTTTTCCTAATATTTAACGGAATAATTGCCCAAACTTTGTTTTATTTGATAGAATATTTCGTTTCTTTCGCAGGATTCGATTATTCTGAATAAAGTTGTGTTTTATAATAAATATAGTTTTAGTTTTCAATGCAATGCTAGTCATTTTAAGTATCAATAGTAAAAGACTAAATACGCATAGTATTTAATTTCATAGAAATACAGTTACTTTCAATGTAAAAAATAATAAAATAAAATCAAGTATCAAGTAAGCTTAATCCACTAAATAAATCAAACTTTTAGGGATACCATACTATTTTTTTAATTTGCCGCGCTTTTTCGTCATCCTCTTTCATTAGCCAGTCCCTTCGATGTTGTTATAACAAATTGTGACTGTATTTGTCGAATTGTGTGTTTTTGTGATGAAAAGAGACGTGTAATTATTGATATTATGAATAAGGGGATAACTTTTTATTAATTAATGTAAAGTCTAAATTTAATTTATAATTTATATTATGTTAAAATTTTGCGGCATGCGTAAATGGCTGTTTGCGTTCATGTCCGTGGTATGATTATTTTTTTCTATATAATTTGATTTTGAAATTAATTAAGAGTAATCATACCAAAACGCGATTCCAATTATCCTTACCTGGGTGTCATTTAAATCATTAAAATGCTTTGAGGGTTTTATTAAGGTTAATTCATTACTTATTATCAATAATAGCTTGGGGGCAGTTCAAGTATTACGTACCTTAGCACTATAGGGGGGTGGTTTCGATTTTTTTTTGGTGATTACTACAACATTAATTATTTACTTTTTTACATATTATATCACCCACACATTGTCAATGCTTTAAAACGAAATGAAATTTCGAGGATTCCTACAAATAATTATTATTTTTGCTGACAAGAGGAAGGGGGGGGGAGATTGTAGTGAATCTGCTTACGTAATACGTGAACGGCCCCTAAAGCCCGATTCACATATATCAGTGAAGTCACAGTTCCGACACAGCACGAAATATTCTTTCATACATTCTCTATGAACGCATCCCCACTTGCCAGTGTCAGTGACTATTCAGTGCTCTCAGTGTCAGTGCCGACACCGGCAATCACGGACAGATTAGTTGACAACGATATTTTTTGTTGGATCACTGTCGCCGTGTTATTATTTGTTACATTTTGTTTATGGCAGAAGAATATTGAAGCAGCTCTCTGAGATTTTAAAATATTCATTATATTTTCTTTCATCTTTAACGAATTATTTTTATAATGTGATGAATTCTCCTTCCGTCTCACTTAATTGCCATGCTTCATACACCCATTTTCTTTTTTTTCCTTGATGCTCTTTTTCGTCTAAAGCAACAGCTATCATTGCTAGCTCCGTAGTATTGAATAGAACCATAATCACGTTACATGACGACGGACACGTTTTCACGGAAGCTCCGTAAACTGAGTACTGACATGTGTGAATTGAATGACTGACGCAATACTGTATACTGAAATGAGTGGACACGTTGACAGAACTGTGGCTTTACTCATAATATGTGTGCCATTGATTACTGTAAATCTCAATCCTGAGACCAGCAAAGATTCATCTCTAATCAAATAATGCTTGTAAAAAGGAGAACGTGAGGAAACTTCTCTTGACTATTTTACACAAATTAGTAGATTCAGAATCTTACGCTTGGGAATTTCAAAAAATTTGATTTTAAATCTTACCTTAATCAGTGATAGAGGTTTAGTTCATTAATAAATTTTGAGTATATAAAAATTCATTGCTTTGGTTCATATATGGGATTAATCAAAACATTTCGCTTCTCATTTCGTTATACGAACGTACTGAATCGATTGTTATTCTAGAATTTCAATAAATACAGTGTACACTTACCGGACCATGCATTTTCTGGCATTATAGAATTTTTTTGTTAAGGTCGATTTACATCACTCTATCAAATTATTTTAGTGTAAACAGGCGTAGAGCATTCTTTCATTGTTCTTAGTGGGTTCACAAACATTCTAAGAATGCTCGCTCGCTCTTTGAAAACGGCGCTATAGCGCGCGAACAGTTACTGAGAGCGTTCGTGCGCGTTCGCACGCGTCCCTGAGCGGTCTCTTCAAAGCGTTCTTGTGTTCTTGCTCTTTGTTCGTCTAATGAAAATCGACCTTAACATTTGGTTTTGACAAATGGAGTTTATACTGTATGAGTTTTCATTACATGGTTTGCTTTGGTCTGTAATGGTTCACTCCGAATGTGTATGTCCTTTTATCTTATATAATTCAAAACATTTCTAATGTAATGGTTAAATTGCCTTATTTCTATTATCTTATCGTTCAACGATTGCAAGTAATTCAATGTTATTTAAATTACATTATTAAGTTTCTACATGTATTCAAAAAAAGATATATTCGATACTAATATCCCTAAACATACACAATCGGATGGGTTAACTAACAACGCATAACTCCCTACCCCTCCCCTAGCTCCGAGTTGCTCAGCCGGCGATGCCTCAGGGTCTCGTGCTGCACTACGGGATCGGGGCTTTAGGGCCCCCCGGAGCGCTCGCCCCTGGAGCCATCGCTCCTGGGGGTCTGACGCCAGGGGCTCTTACCCCGGCTATGGCGCCTCCATTGGCCCAGGCGTACTACTTTGGTGCTGCGGCGGCGAATACAGCTGCCTTCGGAATTGGATTGGACCAAGTCACGCTGAAAGATCTTATTAAGAAACAGATGTAAGTTTATTAAATTGCCTAATCCCGGATATAAGATAGAGTAATATATAGTTAATAATAGGGAAGATAGGTTGAGATAAGTCTTTGTAATTTTAGTATATAAACAGGAAATATCATCCCGAATCCAATAGAGATGGTATTTTAGTTATGTATTCACATCTTAATATATTATATTACATATCACGTTGTTTGTCCGCTATGGACTCCTAAACTACCGAACCGATATCAATCAAATTTGCACACCGTGTGCAGTTTGATCCAACTTAAAAGATAGGATAGCTTACATCTCAATTTATACCCGCAATATTATTTTATTGCAAAATATTTGTTTATTATTTGATAGTGACAATTCTAACAGATTGTGCTGTGTTGAAAGTACCAACGTTTAAATTAAGCTACAATTTAATGGCATTACCACTAAAAAAAGCATGGTGGTCCCCATGACTGGTGTTCTCCTACCGTTTCCCTTGAATAGTTTACTACTATGTAATATAACTAAAACCTTAGCCACAGCAACGCTTGGCCGGTTTGCTAGTTATAGTATAAAACACATACACAGTATTTTCAATATTCTTAACCTACATATAAAATAAGTTTGTGTTACAAAATATTTTGAAAACCGTTATGACTTTTGGTTTTTAGTTAATTGGTGTAATGCTATATTATTTTTACAAATGTTGTACTTGTTTCGCTATGTGTAGTACTTTTGGTTGAGTTAGAATATTTATTTTAATTAATAAAACTGTTGTAAGTGATATAAATCGGAATTGAATTATTTATAAAACACGAATTTTCGGATGCTCTACAATCGTTGTCAACGAGGGAACAACAAAAACACTAAATTGGCTTTTATATCTCGAAAAGAAATTATTCATGCGAAGATAACATGAATACCTAAGAAGTAAAATTATAGTATTTTTACATTTTGTATTAGATACAGAACACATTATACTATATAGGCGTACGATAAATTTATATTTATATTTCGCAGCGAGTACTACTTCAGTCCGGACAACTTAGCGCGTGATTTCTTCCTCCGTCGCAAGATGTCGTCCGACGGGACAATTCCCGTGACGTTGATCGCGTCCTTCCACCGCGTACGTGCGCTCACGGCTGACGTGCAACTGGTGCTTGATGCTATACGGGATTCTGATAAGCTGGAACTCATACAAGGATTTAAGGTATGGATAAATTAAAGGGAAATTTAGTATTCTAAAGTTTTAAATACAAAAATAAACAGAATTCGTATTCAATCAATTCAAATCAAAATACGTTTATTCAGTTAAGATGCGTCTTAGGGCATGCTTATGAATGTCAAAAACGTTTACAAAATTCGCCTGGAGGCCTTGTTCTGAGAAGAACGGGCAAGAAACTCAGCAAGGGTTACCCTCCCTCTACATAACAATTATTCAAAGGAAAATCACAAGTAAAAAAAAATCTGTTCCGTGATTTACCACATTCACCATTACGCATATTCACGACACTTCAAAAATAACAAAACAAATTATAACAATATAACCTGAACTATTGCCACGCGTTTTTATCTTCTAGGTAGTCATTAACTGTGTAGCAACCTTTATTATTATTGCATGAAGTTCCTTACGGCAGGCTTGGAGGAGATAGGGATTTTTCTGCGCGACCGAACTGAAAAAAAATGTGATAGTAAAACCGTAAGAAAAAGTCCGTGGGATAAAACCGTTAAATGAGACGTGCGCAGGCGCGACAGTCGTATACACAAGCGAGTAGTGTATAATACCTTTCTCTTTCTTTTTTTATTCGTTATGATATTATTTTAATAAAAACATATAATTTAAAGTAATGTTGCATTTTTATTATACAATAATGTATTATAAAAAGTAAAATATTACTCACCGCATAATAAACACCGTTGCTATGCCAACAAAACATAAACAGTTGCGCAATTCCAAACAACAATTTTTTTTTGCAAATTGTGTCGATTCTACATTAGCAGAAGGAACTTCGTTCCTACCTGGTGTGATGGTGTCCCACGACACCACTTTTTTTTTATATTATCATATATAATTATCTCATCAGGTGCGAACAGCTATCGAGCCTATGAAATGGGTGTTAGCTGACATCGCGTTAGGTGCAAATGACGAAGAGAAAGCTGAAAAAACTGAAGACACGAACAAATCCCAGAAAACCGAAAACATTGATAAAACCGACACAGAAAAGCAATCTGAAGATAAAGGAGAGGAAACGGAGAGTTTGGATAAAGAGAGTTCTGATAAGGAGATAGTTGTAGATAAACCAGAGGAGGATTTTCGCGGGGAGCGGATAGAAGACCCGCCGAGGATAGATAGTGAAGATGTTGAACTGGTAAGTCAAAAATGTTTCTTGAAACCCCGTAGAGACCATGATTAAATTTGGGCTCCTTCGTGATGCTTAAGGACCTATCTGGTCGCCAAACTCTAAAAAAGTACATTGTGTCTTTCCATATTTCGTCATCGTTTCTTGAAGTAGGGCAAAAGGAAAAAATATATGGTGGAGTTGAGTGGTTTATGTCGATACATGATGTAAATAACTTTGTTCGATAGAAAAAAATCCAAACAGCCGATTTTTTTGTCTTCAACATCAGGTTTAATATTACAATCAAAACTTCTTCTTCTCGCCATCCCTGGCGAATTTCATCATTTCCCCCCTAAGAAATCATAAAGTACCCAAGGAACTGCAAAGTCCTAGGTCCATCTCCATCATAATTGGTTTGGTTGTCTTGTACATTCTTGATCCAGTATAATATTAATTTTCACAGAAAACAATTCCTGAAACCGCCCGGCGATCCGCTAACGAAACTAACGAAATTAAAGATGAAGTGAAAAGTGAAGTGAAGGAGGCAAGTGAAGAAAATAATGATGTGGATGACGAAGTTAAAACCGAAGAAGCACAAAAGGACTCCAATGATGACCCCCCGCTACAGTCTGATGGGTCTGAGAAGCCTGGGGAGAAACGGTAAGTGTTTACTTATAATAAAAAATTAATAAAGATTTCTCTATTATATTATTTTGTATGAAATTCATGAGTAAAGGGAGGGTAGTTGCAAAAATTGTTAAGGTGTATGAAGACCTGATAAAAAATTAATTGCGTGACATTTTAATATTTGGATGACATGTTCAGTGGTTAAACAATACTTTTATAAATGTTACCTGACGCTTTCTTACTGTAATAAATTGGTTTTACAAGAAATAAATATTAAATTTATTGAATCATTATAAATGTTTCGATTTTATAAAAAACTAGTGGACCCCACAGACGTTGTCCTGCATGATATTTAAAGCGATTAGGATATTAAGCAAAGTATGAAAGTACCGACTGCAGTGCCATCTGCCGGGCTGATTTGTGAATCTAAACCATTCCCAGATCCCCTTGAACACACACAAAAAATTTCATCAAAATCGGTCCAGTGGTTTGAGAGAAGTTCAGTGACATACACACTCATAGAAGAATTATATATATAAAGATTATAATAAATTGTCTCTTCACTGATGGTATATATATATACTTTTGTGAAGGGCTAGTTGATCTAGTTCTTAGGGTAGGAAATTAAACCCTCCAATAATGACTTGATTCACTATACACTATAATTCACTTCACTGACTTTACATGAAGTGTATAACTTGAAACTTGAATAAAGAAATGTGCCCGTGCGCATGTGTCACAACCTCTATTATAATCTATTCCCTACTCCGACTCGACCATCCCACTTCGGGAGATGGTCGAGTCTACAACCGAATGAGTAACTATTGCACATGCGCACTAGTAGCAAGATTCTTAAGAATATGTTTTATGAAAATGTTTAAAACTTAATGAATATTAAAAGCTAACACTTGAAAGTAATAAGTAATTTAAGTCAAACCTAAATTAAGAGGTTTTTTGAAGGGGCGGGAAGACTCTGATTTTGTTTAAGCGGTAATTTGAAATATTAAGTATTATTTGTTGTTTCAAATGTTTTTTAAAAAAAATTTAAGTTTTTTTTATATATTTTTGTCTATTAACGTACTTGTTGTCTGTTTCGTATATATTGTTTATCTATGTACTCTGTTTTGGTTTTCTGTATTATCTAAGTGTTTTGTTTTATAATACGTATGTAAGATTACTTATAATTAAATAAATAAATAAGTACTAAAAAGGATATTTAACATAGGAAAATGTTCAATAACACTTATTACAGTCTCTATGAAGCAGAAAACTCTGTTCATGTGTACTGTTTTTTCAGTTACCACTGTTTAACCAAGCACAGTTTTAATTTATAAATTAATTTTCCAGCCGTAAGAAGCAAATGGTGGGAATTTTCCCGTTAGCGACCATGGGTGGTCCCCTGGTAGCGCCCGTTTCTAGTTTGTTGCGATGCGTTCCGCCACCGCCATTGCCCAGGTTAGTTGCATTATCTGCATTAAGCTTAAAATAACACTCGATCACTTATTAATTATCACATTTTGACAAGATATTTCACATTTAACATTTGCTCGAACGGTGAAGGAAAACATCGTGAGGAAACCGACATGTCTTAGACCCTTAAAGTCGACGGCGTGTGTCAGGCACAGAAGGCTGATACTTGCCTATTAGATTGACAAATAATCTTGAAACAGATTCAGAAATCTGAGGTCAAGACCTAAAGAGGTTTTACCGCCACTGATTTTTTTTCACAATATAAATGTGTTGGCCTAGTGTTTAGAAGGTTCGATTGGCTGTGCACCAATGGAGTTTCTTTCTATGTGCGCATTTAACATTCGATCGAATGGTAAAGGAAAACATCGTGCAAGTCGACGGCGTGTGTCAGGCACAGAAGGCTGATCACCTACTTGACTAATAGATTGACAAACGATCATGAAACAGATACAGAAATCTGAGGCCCAGACCTAAAAAATCAAATGACTGACTACAAATAATGAAATGTTTAAAATTTGTGGCATCATCTTAATTCTGGCAATTATCCATTATTTTGTCACTATATTGATGATATCTAATAGTCTTGTTTGAAAATTACGAACCCATTCTCTTTGTTATAAATTTCTATAATTAATCCAATTTCCAGAATGTTCCGGAGCAGTCGTGGCACGGGTTCCATATCGCCCCTTGCTCGCGACAACTTGAACCCGGATGTACCGGAGTTTGTTCCGCAGGCTGTGAGACAACGTGAGTATACATTGTTATTTCAGCGCCACACGATGTCAGTTTTGCGACATTTGCGCTACGGTTTGAACTACGAATACAAATACGTCGCTATTGGAAGTTACTGAGTACCTATGCAACTTCCGAAACAGTTATTGTATGCACTATAGAAGTATATTATTTATTGATAGCAACCTGTATTAAGTCAAGTTAAGTAAAAAATCATTTCTTCGTATAGGTAACACAATGTACACTTATGAACGTCAAAAAAGAAATATATATTAAATGCTTATAATTTTACATTTACTGCCAGTTCTCAAATCAAGGGCGTAGAACGGAAGAGAAGAACTGACAATAAACTTTTCAAGTTTTTGAAGTGAAACTTCTTTATCGAGGTTGGAAAAAAATTTAGTGTAACATTTTTTCGTTACGCGTCACATTTTTCGGTTACGCGCCATGTTGCTTTTTGAAGTCAAACTTCTTTATCGGCGTTGGAATGAAACTTCTTTATCGACGTATGGGAGAAATTTTGTAGCAAATCGTCACGTTTTTCAATGATAGTAATAATTCTATTACAATTAATGAAATTCTATAATAATCTTCGTAGTAATAAGGTAAAATGAAATATTTGTATTCATGTCTATGATAATAAAAGCCTTTTGTTAAACTTTATCTAATTTAACTTTATTTAACGAATTTCTGTAAATTTGCATATAGTAGATCATTTTTCGAAAAATAAGATCATAAAGAAGTTTCACTTGTTACGTGTGTACACCTAGTACACGCACAATTAATTTTTTTGTTTTACACATTATTGGCCATTGTTTGGCCATTATTTGGCCAGTTAATGGACAGTAATTGACACAATACATACGTAAAATCGTCACGGGGGCGTTTGAACACCGCTAACTTTGTTAACGGAAAGTTTGAATAATCAAAATGGCGTTCTTCAATTACTGTTCCATCTTTTAACACTAGACTCGTTAGTTTATATAAATAAACTAACAGACTCTGCCAAGCGTTGCAGTGGCTAAGTTTTTTGTTATATTACATAGTAGGAAACTATTGAAGGGTAACGGTAGGAGAACACCAGTCATGGGGACCACCATGCTTTTTTGGTGGTTATGCCATTAAATTATAGCTTATGTGAAACGTTGGTACTTTCAACACAGCGCCATCTGTTAGAATTGTCTAATAATAAACAAATAATTTGCTTAAATTAATATTGCGGGTATAAATCGAGATGTAAGCTATCCTATCTTTTAAGTTAGATCAAACTGCACACGGTGTGCTGATTTGATTGAAATCGGTTCGCTAGTTTAGGAGTCCATAGCGGACAAACAACGTGACGCGTAATTTATATATATTAAGATTATGATAATATAAATAAATTTAATTGAGTTAAACCCGTAATTTAGGCCCGAAATCTCTCATCAATAGAGTCTTTGGGTTACGCATTATGGGTAAAGTAAATATCACTTTCGCGAGAAAGTCTTTTTGGTGGAGATTTTTTTCGACATAAGTGACGTACATGTGAATATGCTTTGTATGTATTAATTTATTATCTATGTGAGTTCTGAAGCCTGGGCTGGGGCATGCTAGGCCCATTTCTTAGCAACGCTGTCCAGTTTAAAAGTTAGTTGTGCACAGCGTTAAAAATCATTTCCTACGAGCGGACCCGGCGAACGTCATACCGTCTTACAGTTTAGATGAACTTATCTGGTCGCCAAACTCCAAAAAAGTACATTGTTTCTTTCCATTTTTTGTCATAGTCATCGTAGGGCGAATGGAAAAAATATATGGTGGAGTTGAGTTGTTTATGTATCCATTTTGAAAGATCGATACACGATTTAAATAACTTCGCTCGATAGAAAAAAAATACAAACATAGCCAATTTTTGACACTTTGAATTGATTCACAAAAATGTATATAACATGATTTTGAAATTTACACGATATATTTTATCGCAAGCCAAGTAATCCATTTCAGATAAAATTATATTAATTAAATGTTTTACAAAACTAATTGTTATTACGGGCCGGCGCGCCTCAGTGCTCCAGCTCTCCACTGCGCCCCGCAGTCCACCCCGAGACAGCAATTCGTGCTGGGATAGGGCCTTAATTTATAATTTTTTGAAAGTTATAAAATGACTATAAAATAAATATTACGCTATTTTAATAAGGAATGAACACAAATAGAAATAAGCGTCTGAAAGCAAGCATAAATATTTGACAACCAATATAAGTGTCAATCAGTTTTCATTACTGACATTATTGTATATTTTGAAATCTAAATACGTCATTATCCGCATATTGTGAATATATGTTGTGGAATCGAAACCTTTATTTAAATATGTTATTCAATTTAAGGGCAGAGTTAACCGTATCGACGGGATAAACATTAAATGTTTGTCAGTTACGAAACCCATGAAAGTTCTGTATTGGATTTTTATTTTAAATTACTTTTCGTCAATTTCGAAATATTCTTAATGTATTAATTATTCTGCTATTCGGGACGCAGACAAAAACAAATCAAAACCATTCAAATCGGTCAAGTCGTTCTCGATTTATAAGTATTCGAACAAACCCAACCATAAAACGGTGCCATGACGGTCACGCGTACGTGGCGCTCGCAGTGTGACGTCATCATTTTTTTTCAAATTATTTTGAAGTTGGTTTTGAACAAATATGGTATATTACAGAGGAACCAATTGAAAAAGGTGCAACGGAGCAGCTAAACAGCCCCAATAATGAAAGGGCTGATCCCAATGTCTGGACAGAGGTTAGTTAAAGATTGTAATTTAATTTATAATTGAGTTTACTTTTATTTTTAAATTTATTGCATGTACGGCTATATTTTATTGTGATTATTTTAAGAACGACTACAATGTTATGTTATCTAGAGTATTATTCTCATGTAAGTGACATTTTTTGTCTTTTTTGAGAAATAAAGTCTTTAAACCTAATTGAGCCTCAAAAAGATTTTCCCTAAAAGGAGCGATTTTTGAGCCTTTAATAGATATAGCTAACTTTAAAGTTGTTGTAGTTATGAAAATGTTCATTTACTGTGACGAAATACAATTTAGCTGATAACAAAGTATATTCAATATGTTAAATAAAACATTATTTTTTATATAGAGTGGAATATCTATAACTCGAATTTCAAGGAAAGGCAATAAAATCGAGTTATAGAGTATAAACATGGACTACTATGAATACTTCGTAGGGAAATAACATTGTGTTCGAGTTACAAAGTCTAAATAAGAGAAGCCGCGTATTTATGGGTTCAGCGGAAGTGAATGGCAATTTTTTTCGACTTAACGAGGTTCGAGTTATATAGAAAGTCACTCTTACCGACATTCATTCAGTCACGTGACTCCTGTATTTTAAAACCAATAGATTTTCGACTTATAGAAGTCAGACGTAGCCTCATCAAAATAATAGCATTTCTATTATCTATATCATAGTCATTGATATACTAAAAACCCAAGATGCACAGTCTCGAATAAAAGTAACGCTCGAAAGTGTCCCGAAACAATATTTCTGTCCATAACAGTATATGTTACAAGCATATATTATTGCAAAATCAACCTTACGCGAATTGCTTAAAGTTGTTATTACAACGCAGTGTATACTGTATACGTACTTAAAGCAATAAAATTTTACGACCGACCGTGGTCGGTAGGACAAGGTATTGAGTGGAGTCGAACATGACTTTTTTATTTACAACTATTTAACATAATTTTAAATTTATCCGACTTTTCGGGACTTACAGCGTGAGTGGTCACGGTGACTGAAGACAAAAGGTGTTGGATGTTAAATAGTTGTAAATTTATAATAATACATAACATTAATCCGGTTAAAAAGTTTTTTCTTTAAATTAAAAAAAAATGTTAAATTGGCTACCTCCTGACCCACACTTTATATAGCGTAAATATATTTGTCAAAAACTACACACAAAAAAGTTCAAGAGTACATAAATTTTTTTATAAAAAAAACACAAATAAATAACATCGACTCCACTTATAGACGCGAGACTATTTGAAATGAGCGCACAATTTAGAATGTTGCGCTCATTTTTTGAGGACGTTTTTTAGACGTTGATTGTGCATCTTGGGTTTTTGTATATCAATGATCATAGTTATATATTATCACCCCTGCCGCCAAAGGGTGGGCGTAGACCACTCGCGGTCCGACCCTCTTGCTTCCTCATATGTACCATAAATGCTCGGTTATAGGTACTTTGATCTTCCCCAATTCAAACAAATGAATCTGTGAGAGACTTTTTCTAACATGTAAATTCCAAAACAGGTGAAACGTCGCACAAAAGCCGGGTCCCGTGAGCGAGGTAACGCACGCGAGGAACCCGAGGAGCCTCGCGAAGAGCTGCACTTCCAGCTGGATGAAGAGCTGGATTTGCCCCCGCCGAGGCATAACACCTTCACTGACGCCTGGTGAGTTAACCCTTGAAAGACCAAAAAAGTTATTCCTGAAAGGCCAAGTTTAAATATATGTATATATTATATATTTATGGAGGGCAGTGTTGGCCTAGTGTCTTCAGCGTGCGACTCTCATCCCTGAGGTCGTAGGTTCGATTGGCTGTGCATAAATGGACTTTATATGTGCGCATTTTACGTTCGCTCAAACGGCGTAGGAGAACATCGTGAGGAATCCGACTCAAAAAAAAAGTCATGCACTGGAGGCTGATCATCTACTTATCTATTAGGTTTAAAAATGATCATGAACCAGATTCAGAAATCTGAGGCCAAGACCTAAAGAGGTTGTAGTGCCACTGTTTTTTTTAAATAATATATTTATAGCATATCTATTGTATTTGTAATATTCTGAAATTATTTAATTTTATTATTTTTCTGAAATTAATATTGAATTCTCCAATATTATTAAACTATATTCCCCTCCCAATGGTTAAATAATGACAACTATAAACTACAGTTTAAACTCATCTAAAGTCATTTGATATTACGTTTCTTGTAAAAACAGATAACAAATGGAACTCCTTGACACACCTCCATCTTCCCTAGACAGTTTAATATGGGTTCATTTAAGCAGAGGTTAAATAGACATCTCCTGAACAGGCTAGCCCTCCAATCCTGCATCTCACTTTACATCAGATGGCATTTTGATCAAAAGTCTGTCCAGTCTGTATAAAAAAACCCATACAATTTAACTAAATCTATGTATATATTGACAATTCCCTGTTTCGAATATCTCTAATATTTGTATGTTTATTCGATACTTATGATGTTCTTTCTAAGCATGGGTTGTGTGAGAAAGCTTATCAATGAGATCACGCTACAGTTAGTCTTTGCAGAAAATGTTAATGAATAAGATTTAAAAAAAAACTTGAGTGAAAGTGTTCTTAGCAATTGTAGTCAGAAAGACTTGTAATTATATTTTTTTCATTGAAAGAATATTGTGAGACACAATATTCTTTCAATATTCTTACAATTTGTGTCCAACATGTAGTGTCAATGAATACATAAGAATTTGAAAGTATATATTTGTGCACTGAATGTCCACTTAGAAGAGATTTCATAACTATTCTGAGTTACTGCGAAAATAGTGCGATAGAAAATGTGTCGCCAAGGCGTTCCAGCCACGTTTTAATATGATGTGTATGGGTGCAATGTTGACACAACATAATTTCCTTAAATAATTACCATAACCAATGTCTCTACTTTTGTTTGCCGATATAATTAAAAAGCTTAAAACACAGTTTTAATGGACTAGAGCGTAATGTTTGGACGAAACGAAATGCTATATTTGACTTTTACAGAACATTAAATGTGGTCGAGTATTGTCCCATTAAAACCAGTATCAATATATTTTATATAAAATATTTATAATTTTTAATTTTGAAACTAAACGATTTTTTTAAATATTGTCTGGTAGCCATTAAAAACAATATTAATTTATAAGAAATATTTGTGGCTATAAATTTATCAAAACGAAACTGAAATGTAATATTTCTCGCTTATAAATCCAAAATATTTTCATTGCCAGGTCTGACGACGAATCGGAATCGGAGTTCACAGACGGGGACATAGGCCGGCTGCTCATCGTAACCCAGACGACTACCAGGGCGCCTAAACATGACGGATACGACCGTCAAGGCGATTGGTCCACTCGCACTAAGATCACTCAGGACTTGGAGCAGGTAAAATGTCTTTATAGAATGCTTTTCTGACAGCGGCTTAGGGAGCGTTCAAGTGTTACGTCACGAAATGTTTGACCCCCCCCCCATGTAACGCGTCGTAACGTTTTTCTGTACCCAAGTATAGTTAAACGTTTCGTGACCACCTAGTGACTCTTTATACATAAAAGTTACCATTCTGTGGTGTAAATTACTGGAATGTCGAAAATAATATTAACAATAACGCGTAATTCAATATTTGCTCCGCATCATAACGTTTTACAAGAGGGGACCCTCCCCCCAAAATTCGTTACGTAATACTTGAACACTCCCTTACCAGTAGATTAAAACTTTATTAATTCTATATATTTCCTTGAAATTTCTAAGAAAAATCAAAATTTTTGGTTATGTCCCTGTGATAACATGAAGTTGAAGATTTGGTATAGGTCTTCCGTAAAGTTAATTAATTGTTATTCAATTAATTGCAGGTGATCACAGATGGACTCCGACGCTATGAAGAGGATTTGTGGGGGGAATTTTCAATGGTAAGATTTTTTTGTTTTTCAATTTGTTGGTAAGATTCGGTATGTTACCGAATACTTTAATAACGAGAAATATTTAAGTGTTCTCATTATACTAGTGTTGTAAATAAAAGTTTCAATAAATAATTCCCTCTGCAGTGTAACAGTGGAGGCAGTCAGTACCGCACCGTGTCTTTGATCAGTCGTGAGCAGTTTGAAGCCACTGTTCCTGCTGAGAAGCACAGCAACCCCGTGGAGCCTCCACCACCGCCGCCGCATCAAACGCAACAGGTATAATAATTTTTGAAGTCAAACTTCTTTATCGAGATTGGAAAAAAATTTAGTGTAAAATTTTTTCGTTACGCGTCACATTTTTCGGTTACGCGCCATGTTGCTTTTTTAAGGCAAACTTCTTTATCGACGTATGGGAGAAATTTTGTAGCAAATCGTCACGTTTTTCAATGATAGTAATAATTCTATTACAATTAATGAAATTCTATAATAATCTTCGTAGTAATAAGGTAAAATAAAATATTTGTATTCATGTCTATGATAATAAAAGCCTTTTGTTAAACTTTATCTAATTTAACGAATTTCTGTAAAGTTGCATATAGTAGATCATTTTTCGAAAAATAAGATCATAAAGAAGTTTCACTTCTTACGTGTGTACACCTAGTACACGCACAATTTATTTTATGTGTAGCTGTATAGCTGACCGGGCAGACGTCGTTTTGCCATGTATATCATTTATAATAAAAAATAGGGGTTGATCGTAGAGGGATGAAAGGGGTTCTATGTATTTTTTAATGCTGTATCATAAAAAAATAAAAGCAGACAAAAATATCTAAAAATAAAATAAAAATATTTAGGGGTGGACTACCCTTAACATTTAGGGGGATGAAAAATAGATGTTGTCCGATTCTCAGACATACCCAATATGCACACAAAATTTCATGAGAATCGGTCGCGCCGTTTCGGAGGAGTTTAACCACAAACACCACGACACTAGAATTTTATATATTAGATTATTACAAAATTAAATAAATAAGTACATAAAATTGATTTTAATATTTGTATATATTATATATGAGTTCAGTACTATTAAAAAAAATGTTATAGTGAATAAAAACATAAATAACTTATTATGTTATATAATTACTGTTAATTGACTTGCATTTTTAATGCTTTTTTGTAACATAAAATTAACAATATTTTCTCAGTTTTAGTATGGATAATTATGAATTAAATTTTTGTAACAGATGGAGTCCCAAAACGAAGCAGGCAAGGCGAAGCGTCCAAGACGTACTGCACGCTTCTACGCCGCGAGCAAGGACCCGCACGCCACTGATGTCATGTGAGTTTCCGAACCAATTCTTCAAGATAAGAGCATACCAATTCCTAAAAGGTCGGCAATGCACTTGCGAGCCCTCTGGCATTATGAGTGTCTATGGATGACGGTATCACTTAACGTCAGATGAGCCTCCTGCCCATTTGCTTCCGTTCTATGAAAAAGAATTGAATGAGTGAAGGAGTAAGAGAGGGAGAAAGAGAACGTTTATAGCATGAATCTTTTGCCACTTGTAGGAAGATTGCTCACTAAACTGAATGAGAGGAGATAGAGTGTAAATGACTTTACGAATAGATACAAAGTGATATAGAGCAGGTTTTAGATTTTTTTATTGGTAACATATGATAGGTTCTCAGTTTTATCTCCAGCAAAAGAGAAGAATTCATACCAAAAACAGGTATGTCTTTTCCAAAGGAGACACATTTTCACTTCCTTGTTTGTGCGAAAGTTGTTGCGGTTACAGTATGCTAATAAATAAGACTTTATTAGGCAAATTTCAGTTTTTTTTGTGAATTATTAAAGCGAACTTATCAGTATTTTTATTCATAAAAATTCTGATAAGAATAGCTTTCTCCTTTTGACCAAATTCAGCGAAGGGTTTGTCGAATTGTCAATCTCCAATGTCTTACTGATCGGCTTGATTCTCTCTCTCAGAGACATTGCGTCTTTTTGCGTTTTCTATAGTGTACTACGGTGAGTGTTCTGAAGAATCGTTTGGGTTGATCCCTCCTGCCTCGATTCAACACCCTACGATCCGTAGCAATTCAAAATTTCATCACCATAAAATAAAATAAAATCGACATCGAATCGACTCCTGGTGGGGAGGGATGAGAGATACAACGTCCAACTATTCAAAATTCAAGTGTTTTCCTCAAAGGCCGCCATAGCATCCACTAAAAATGGATGTCTATGGACTGCGATGACTGCCTTTTTTAAAAAAAATAAACTAAATTAGTTATAAATGTGAGATCTGAATGTTTTAGAAGCAGCCGCAAACACAAGACGCGGCACAGCCTGAACCCTCCAGTGGAGCATCACATCGGGTGGGTCATGGACATCCGCGAGCACAGGAGACATCATAGGGATAGCGGGTGAGTTTTCCATTTCTAAATTATTAAGTAACAATGTGTTTTACCGACTGTTAAAACACCCTGATATATTTATTGTCTACCGTCATTTTAAAATATTCTATTAGTACCCACAATTTTCTTTTTAGGCATTCGCTTTCAAAAAAGATTAGATAGACATTTTTGGTATATATATTTAGGTAGGCTTCTAATGTGTGCTAAAGTAACTGTTTGTGTCCACAAATTATATGTATACCTTTCAACAAATCAATACTTTTTGACATAATATACATACTGTGTTGAAACTATGTGTAAGTAGAAATATTTTTGACATTTTATGTTGGATTAATTTTTTCGGTAAGTTATTTTCTTCCTCACACCACTAGACCAATGACAATTGCTTTGTGGTGAATTAAACTAATATAATTCTTGTCGTTTAGATACTTTTTTTTTTCATATTACTTATTTCAACTATTGTAACATAACAAGGTTGGATTACAGCGACGGCAAATTCAACGACGGCTCTTTCAGTAAAACATCTGTTTGTAGATCTTCTCTCGGCACTTCACCGACACTAGGCTCGTCATGCGGCTCCGCTCCTCAATCGTTGCCTGCCTTCCATCACCCGTCGCACGGATTGCTGCGAGAGAACCACTTCACGCAACAGGCCTATCACAAATATCACTCACGGTGCCTCAAAGGTAAACTCCTTGTAGCTTCATCCGCATTCATTTTCATTGTTTTTACAATTATATTATTGTAGATTCACTAACTTGATCTCCTAATTAATTGAAATCAATTTTCGTAAGTTAATGATTGTGGCAATAATATTGTTTATGAACAAAATAGTTAGAGTCATTCTTACGTACGTTTATTAGAATAGAAGTAACAATTGCGTCACAAATAATTTTGCGTACCATACGTAACGGTCGCTATACAAGAACGTATTTGTTTTCTTATTAAACTGTTTGCTTCTAGCCTGTGAATCTGGATTCCAGTGCTGGTCGAAAGACTCATGATTGCTAGACCCATATTAAAATGTTGATTTACTTTAGAACGCAAGAAGCTTGGAATCGGTCAGTCGCAAGAGATGAACACACTCTTCCGTTTCTGGTCCTTCTTCCTTCGGGACCACTTTAACAGGACCATGTACAACGAATTCAGGTAAGAAATACTGTATCGTATTGAATAAATTGAGTTATATGTTCCCCGCCCCTTTTTATCTATAACAACAAGAGACTCAAAACTCAAAAATCATTTCTTCGTATAGGTAACACAATGTACACTTATGAACGTCAAAAAAGAAATATAGATGAAATGCTTCTAATTTTATATTAAGTGCCAGTTCTCAAATCAAGGGCGTAGATCGGAAGAGAAGAACTGGCAATAAACTTTTCTTCTTGTTCTCTTACTTACGATATTCTGTCTAAAAAGTACGTTATACTAGTTTTGACGTTCATAAATCAAATTCGACACGAGTTTATTATTTGTATTATCAATTCCTATATTCAGATGTTGATTTGTGACAAAAAGTTAATATTATATTTTGAGGGTAGTCGCAGTTTTTATGTATAAAATAAAAAGAATATTAAGAAATCACGATTTAATTGTTAATTATTTTGTATAGAGCGTTGGCGAATGAAGACGCTGTTGCTGGTTTCCGTTACGGCCTTGAATGCCTTTTCCGTTTCTACTCGTACGGACTCGAGCGTAAATTCCGTCCGGAACTGTACAAAGACTTCCAAACTGAAACTATGCAGGACTATGAGAATGGTGGTGAGTGGATATATATTATTGGGTTACTAGCTGTGTTTTGACCATGTATATTTTTTCTAGGAAACATTTTTTAGTCAAAAAAAAAACTATCTACAATAATAAAAAAATAGGGGTTGTTCGTAGAGGGGTGAAAATTAGGGGTTGTATGTATTTTTGTATGCTGTATCATTTCAAACAAAACATTTTTTCTGAAAAAAAAACGTGAGTTTTTGTGGAGTGAACACCCCTTATCACTTAAGGTGGGTACTGACCAACTTTACGAGGTATAATGTAACACGTTACACAGCGAGCATTCGTGCAGTCAGTACGTCGTGTTACGGGGAAACCAGCGAGCAACGAGCCGCTCGTTCTCGTCTTCGTATTTAATTTAACTTATTTATGTGTGTTAGTAGTCACTTTACAATTACTAATTATTCTGATGGTAAAATTGATTTTACTAATTATTTATTGGCATCATCACGCCTTTTTCCCGAAATCGGCAGATATTACGGATCTCCACTTGCTACGGTCCTGACATTCTGCTCTCGCTTCATCCATGACATTCATGCATGCTCGTCGTAAATAATTATAATTTTCCAAAAATAACTGTTTAAAACAAATTTTATTTCATTTTAGGTCAATTATATGGATTAGAAAAGTTCTGGGCGTTCCTGAAATACTACAAACATGCTGCAGCGCTTCAAGTTGAGCCTAAACTCAAAGGTTACCTCGCCAACTTTAACACCATCGAGGACTTCAGAGTACTTGAGGTAAGATTTGATTCTACCCTCATTTTAAATATAGTTTATGACGTTACCCTTATTTTTGGCTTGAAGTAAATTTGTTTAATCATTTGTACCTTACATGTATGAATGTCTCTCGTTGAGATATTTAAGAAATACTTTTTTGTACCTACCCTCATTTAACATTTATCTATTATACTCCAGCCCCAATTAAACGAACTATTGGGTGCGCAAGGACCCAATGCACCAGGCCGTGGACCCCACGCCCGGCCCTACGACAGACACAGATCTGTGTCCGAAAGCGATAGGCCACACCATCAGCACCACAGGAACTATTTCAAGTGAGTAAAAACTGACATTATTCTATTGTGTTCATTGATGTAACGATGCAAATGAGACAGACAGTTTTGTGTGTCTGTTTTTAAGACCATTTTATATGCATTCTATGTGTGGGTCAGCTACTTTGATTTGAGACTTAATGCTAAGTGTTACTTCCGGGTGTCATAATTTCGACCCCAATTCATTCTGATATTCTCACGTTCCTTGTTCTTCATATAATTTGAAAGAGCGTGGATCTAGTACAGCTGAGGAAGTCACTTAAGCTAACCGTGTTCATGTTTTAATATTAATTTTATATTTAATGTTATAAAATAATGTTTTTATTGTAGAGCTCCAAACACATCTGGCAACAACGAACGCGGCCGAGCTGGCTCTTGCGGCGCACAGAGCGTTGTCGCTATCAACAGGACCAGGCGTAGGTATCTGTTTTTTTTTATATCTATACGACTTCCAAATACTCTTTAGGAAAAAATGAGGAACTGGTAAATAAAGTACCTCATTTTCTGAGCTTCTGGTCAGGCATAATTTGCCATTTAAAAAACGTGTGTGTACGTTACGTACACGCGTTAGAAGTTATACTTCTTTGGCTAACAAGATAATTTTTTCAAAAAAATTATTCTACGTTTATAGAAAAAACTACACTAACAATATAAAAAAAATACTCTCATCATTTTTCCCTAACGCGCTAAAAGAAGTATAACTTCAAAAAGTCCATTATATACATTTTAATGGCAATTTATGCATATTAATACTAATAATTACTATGTATATATTATTGTATATATTTCTTCTGTGCGTGTGTATGTGACTGAACTCCTCCTAAACGACTGGACCGATTTTGATGAAATTTTTTGTGTGTGTTCAAGGGGATCTGGGAATGGTTTAGATTCACAAATCAGCCCGGCAGATGGCACTGCAGTCGGTACTTTCATACTTTGCTTAATATCCTAATCGCTTTAAATATCATGCAGGACAACGTCTGTGGAGTGTGGGGTCCACTAGTATTATTGTATATATGACTTTTATGACGCCTATTCCAGATTAATTTTAGTTTAACCCTACGTTTGAAAACTATTTTGTATTAGTCTATTGTCATGCAATAATCTTTTGGAATCGACGCCGACAATACTGAGATTCTCCCGCAAACACAAAAAAAAATTTTTTTTATATGAGAAGCCATTTTAAAGAAGAAAAGGACTATTCAAGGCTAAAAACTAAACAAAAGTAATAATATTGATTTTAATATAATATTTGTGCACTGAATGTCCACTTTGAATAGATTTGTTAACTATTCTGAGTTACTGCGAAAATAGTGCGATAGAAAATGTGTCGCCAAGGCGTTCCAGCCACGTTTTAATGATGTGTATGGGTGCAATGTTGACACAACAATCTTTAATCTAATTATATCCTGTATTAATATTATTCAAATAAAAATGTGCGACAGGATAATAAAATTATTTTGTTTTCAGCACCAAAATCAAAACCGGATCAAGAAATGAAGCAGCCGGTCGCGGCGCGTACGCAGTGATGCGTTCAGAGGAACGTACATAACGTGTATATACATAGACTGAGCCGTTCGTAATTATAGGACATTGCATTTTTATATAAATAAAACTAAAAAAAAATTAAAAAATCTTATGGACCCAAAGTGTTGAACGCTAGTGTTAAGTGTATGTAACCGGTTCTCGACGGTACGGACCGGTCGAATCCGGCTATCACCGGTTTTACTTCGGTCACGATGCGACCTCGCGGTTTTCTGGGATTGCAGGCTGTGTGTGAATGAAGCATAGGTGAGTTATTCAAACTTTTTATTTAAGTTACTGTCAAATCATACTCTCCCCATATCTCATTTATAGTCAATGTACAAAGAGCAAAATACAAACGTTAAGATGATATACTTCAACTATTTTATTTAACTTTTACAGTAAAATCTTAAATTTAAATATTAAATCCTAAATAATATATATTATCTAGGATGTCGTAATGCCGTGGCGTTTTATACATGCACAACGCCATCTATTGCTTAAAAAATAAATTAAATGATGAAATTAGACAGTCAATCTCCCTAAGGGCCGATTCGACCAAACAAGAGTAAATCTTAATCTTAGAATAAATCGTCAGTTAATCGAGAGTAAATCAATTTTACGTTTTACCAACTACAAATTCTAAGAATAGTGGGCTTATTCGGGAATAGCTACTATACCGCCGTTTCGCACGGAATAACAGCTATTCCTAGAATAATTTAATGGCGTCAGTCAGTCCAATCAGCTGATTTCTGTCATTTCACAAATATGTATTCTGTGTTTTAATTTCAAGTCAACGCAACGCACTAAATTAATAGTCTGGCATTGTATAATGAAACGTTTAAACAATTTATTATTTATTTATTTATTTTTAGATTTTTTATTTTCTATAATATTAGAATGAAATTCAACTAGGCTCAACAGAAGTTCCTTTTTGGACGAAAGCCTCAAACAAACAAGAAATAAAAACTTTTTGTTGTCGTTTGACACCTGTTAAAAGCTACTTTTTCACTCTATAATACGGCAAAATCGAGTTGACATGATGTATACTCTTACACTGTCCCGTTGTAGAACAACATTTATTTGCCGAGTTTTATTTTCGTTCACCATTCTCTTGCTATTCGCGTATTGTTATTCCTAGCGCAATTATACTATCGATTACGTGGACAAACGACTATGGATTTACTCGAGATTAAAATCATGGAATAGATTATTCTTGGTATAGTTACTCGTGTATAAATTGAAGTTTGGTCGAATCGACCCTTAAACTTTGATATTACTCTTTAGTTTATCTCCATTATACAGTGACACTGTATTCATCCATTTCGTAACTATGTATAACCTGAGCTGAGCTGAGGCTCAGGGTGGCTACATATTTATTTTAAAGTAATATTGTAAAGATTGTAAAGTTATCTTTAAGAACATTCTTAATAGTTAAATTTTATGAATGAGGAAAATAATCAGTGTATAAGTATAAATTTACTAAATAAATGTACATAATTAAAATGCATTGACATTTCACATTTTAGATTTCTAAAATCCGTTTCGTTATAACAAATTCGTTTCACAGAAGAAATTTCGATTCAGTAAATTTGTATTAAAATATTATTTGATAATTTTAATTAAAATGTTTTTTTCTTTGTCCACAGCTTGTAAACGCATCGACAATAAGGCTACGCGTTGCACGCATTCAGTAGCTATAGTTATATTACAAACTATATTTATATATATTTTTGACATTGTTAATATACATTGATTTCAAAAATAGCATCTTAGTGTACTGCCTGTGCGCATATCTAGATTAATCCAAATAAATCGTTAAAAATTCTTTGGCTAAGTAGGCGTTGATGCAGAATAAGGCAGTAGCTTTTGGTAGTTAAGTGGCAACACTGTGGTGCTGTCGTGTCTATGGGCAATGGCGGGCGATTTTGAATCTGTCAATTTTTACCAGGCTCTCATCATGATCTTTTCTATACAAATTTGATGGGCGATTATTGCTTAATTTATCCCTTATTTAATTAACAATAGGGTCTTTCCTTTTTGTCATTCAAAAATGGCGTGTTAACACCATTTTACAATTGCCAAAGCTTCACCTATACTTAACATTCTATATTAATTAAAAAACCTTTTTTGGATTATTCGTTATGATATGATAAATCGCTCGTACTTGTTCTAAGACCGTACCGGTCTGTTGTACAGTTACGTTTCGTGTGGGTCTAGCGGGAATATTTTTAAAATAAAATTTACTATAATCTATCTATCTGTATACTGTTAAAATATAACCGATAATAAGTTTATATTAATTACACGTGCCTCTAATAATTCTCCGCTAGCCCCGAACTATTTATGGCCCCGGAAAATCTGTCGGAAAGACTGGCTATTATGCTATTTAGACGAAATTTGTAAAAAGTAATTTTCGATAGTGCTAGTTTTCGATGTTAATTTTGAAGGATGGTTTCGAGCGTTCGGAAACGATACAATATAATAATTATTAGATTGCTTACTAAATAGATAACTGAAACGCTAAACGTGAGAGGTCCTTTTTAAAACTGCCAATTTGTTCACGACACAAAAAGCATATGGGTTTTGTTTTGTTTTAAGGTTGCATGCACGTAATGGGCCACTCGCGGGGATGTTTGTGGTCCCCCTATTAGAAATTGATATTTAAAAATCTTTCTCAACAAGTCGGCTTTATGGCCTGATAGTTTTAAATAACATAGAAAAATATATAGCCCCATATACGTCACTACCGCATTAGTGCGCGATACTTGTAGCTGTCGAGTACATATTTTATTCGCATAATTATTAGCATAATCGATCTGCCAATTTAAAGGTGGATTGTCAATTTCATACTTCAACTGTCAATACACATGACAGTTGACATACGATGTCACAACATCCCTGCGACGACGCACATTTCGTTTTTTTGTATAATACGTGAGTTTCGCATAGATTAAGTATAGACATGTATTGAACACGTTCAGTTTTTATGACGCGTTTGTGTTGAATAGCCGTTTCGAATTAGCACAAATTCATTGAAACTAAATTCGACAGCTGACATTGACAGCTTGACAGTAAAATCGTAAATTTGACGTTCTCTCATTTCGTCTATGCACTAATACGCACTCCACGTCAAACTAATTCTCATGAGTTTACAAATCTTGTGATTTTAATACAGACGTGTCAAAAAAATAGTTGCACTAACTTGCTCAATATGGTTTTTTATTCGGTTGTTAAGTTGACAAATGAATTTTTCAATAAGAGAGACGAATTTCCTCTAAAAGTTCACAGCGTTTAACATGTAAAAATTCAATGAAGTTGAACAAAATCCTCTTCCTTCTTGATTAATTCATGGCTAAATAATCTTATGTATATTACACTAATATAAACAAAGTTAAGGGTGTGACGATTATTTTTTCTTTTTTTTCTAGTGTATAAGGATGCTTTTTTATTAATATTAAGAGCTAACGATTCATTGGATTTCGGTGATATCAATTTGCTGTTGAAATTAGATTACTCAACCCCATAACTCTGAATAAAACAATGAATTAAACTTTTCTGTGGTTTTTGATTTATTTCATGTCAAACGTCAAATTGAGTGTCACCGGCGCCAAAAATTTCGTAAGCTAAGTACGCGGTTGCCATACAAAAAAATTAAATCTCCGTTACCAAGAACCCGGAGCCGCGTGCTTTATAGTAATTTTTAGTTCGCTTTGGTCGCTTCTATCATGTTAAACATAGTTCCTAATATATTTTAAAACCGTTAGCATTTTTATTTTTACAATTCAACACAGAAATCGTAATAAAATATGTTTAGATTATATCATTAACATCAAGTCTTATTTTAATATTCAAGTGTTCATAAAAATAACGAATTTAGAGGCCTACCTAATAATCTGATCGCTTAGCAAGACTGCTTATATCTTTAAGTATAGAATTCCTTCACGTATAGTAAATACATATTTATTTTCTGTATTTATTAAAATTCGAGAATCTATGGGACTGGGAATTGTCTATGTCATTTATTGGCTATGGCAAGGCAAATTGTGTCGGTTGCGACGATTTCTGTGTTGTAAAAAAAAATTATACCGTCCCCATATTACGCGGGAGTTTCGGAAGCGATCGAGGTGTTGTGGTATAGTTTTAAAATTGATATCTCGTACGTGAAGTGGCAAAATATCCAAGTTTGATTAATAAACGCTATACGGTGTCAAATTTGTACTTTTAGCGAGGTTTAAGAGTGGCTACCACACAAATTCGTTTTACGCTGTGCAATAGATACAAAAGAAGGTTTTTAGTATGTATCGAAGTGCGCAAGTAGACTTATGAGTAACACAAGCGTATTCATGTTGAAAATAATTGAATGTCTGACTCTAAAACGGAGACTTTTTAAAACTATACCGCAACAGTATGATTTGTTAAGTTTTTAAGTTAGTAGGTATTTTGTTGCAATTTCTTTCGAAAGAACGCCAAAGGAGACGATGGTAAAAACTTAAAATTTAGGATTATTGTATAAATGAAAATACAAAAAAATGCTGTTATAAGTGGTGTAAATTAACTTTTCCAGTGAAAATTTGTTGAGTTAAATTTTTTTGATTTTAATTTGCTAAACGGTTGTTTGTATAATACTGATAGTAGGTCAAAATTAATGAGTTTCTATATTTTACTTGTAACGTAATATTACACCTAGATGTGCTATCCAATGCAAAAACTATGCGTTGTTATTAAAATATAGAAACTGGTTTTAGTCGGTAATCTAGTATACTTGAGAATTAAGAAATTTAAATAAGATGCTTGATCGCTGGTTGAGGTTGGGTTCATTTTATCTTGTCAAAATGAGGTGTACTTTTTTTTTTTCAAAATTAAATCCTCTTAAACGCATCCCGACTGGCATGTAGAAGGCTGTAAGTTATACATAATATACATATTATTATATTGATAAATAAATTAATAAGAAAACAAATGGTTTTATTTTCTTCCTACCTTGAGAAATTTTAACTTCGGTGTTTAACTACCTCTAGGACTCAATGCTTATTTCCGTTCCGTCTGAGAATCTGTGCCGGTAGTTAATCAATAGCAATGACAATTATAGCGTATAATGAACAAAAGACCCTATAGACCAAATGGCAAAGTTGTAGATGGTAAAAAGATCTAACACTTGTATTTACACTTTTTTTACATAACCTCAAAATTTATGTGAAAAATTAAAAAAAACCAAGTTTTTGGTTTTTTATTTTTATCTTAAATACAAAACTTTTTTTTTTCACGAAATTTGGTTAAAACTTTCCTTTTTATGTCCTAAATACGCTGTAATTTATTTTTTTACCTTATTTTGAATTAATACTCAAAATATGCAATGGAAATGAGCCCGCGTTTCTGATGACAGATGGGTCTAGAAGGAATACTTGGAATAGCCCAGTGGCAAGAAAAAAAGAGAGGACGCCCACCTGGGCAGATATAATAAAAGATAATATTGGAATTATTATTTAAAATAAATTTATCGTCTACCTTCTTGATATATGTAGGTTTACCATCTCTGACATTTCAAATACTGATAGCTGTCAGAATTCTACAGAATTTAAAATCAGAGTATAAGAAAAAACTAAAAGTGTACGTCACGGGACGCCCGTCAGAAGTCAACTTATTTTTAAACTATTTATATTGAAATTGTTTAACTTGAGAAGAGCATATTACTTAAATTTTATGGATATTAATATGATAATATAAGGAAAGGTTATTTTTTAATAAAACCACCAAAATTAGCTAGAAAGTTTCCAGAACTTTTAATCTTGAATCAATTTGTTTTTACATGTTTAAACCAACGATGTCTAACAAAAAGCACTGAGTAGAGACAGGGAAAAACGTCTGACCGAAACAGGGCTAGCGCTGCAAGTTAGAGTGAGACAAAGGAAAGCGAGACAGTATGGCGCCGTAACGCGTTACGTAACGAAGCGGTTTACCCTCCCATAAACTTAAATTTACGTAAATGATTATTCAATATCATTATAATTACAAAATAAACCCTCCTTGATGCGATGTACTAGGTGATTCAAATCTTCGCCTTGCTCTAAACCTGCTTTGGCGTTGTTTGTTTAAATATCGTTTTCGTGCAAGTTCAGCCTGGTCCACACTAAAATTTTAAAATAAATTACAAAAGATATATTAATGGTTCGGTTAAAACACATTTAATTATGTGATAATATAAAAATATTACTTTTGCAGTCGATCGATATTGGATGTATGTGGTGTATTACTCTTGTGTTGCGGTTCACGTAATGATTTTCTATATTGTCTTTGGCGTTCTGCATTAGATTGTCGTTGACGTTTATTTATTTGTACACCATGATGTGGCTGAACATCGCTAGATTGACTGAATGTACATGCGTTCATTTTATCAGCTTTTCTCCTTTCTCTGTATCTTCTTTGGCGTTCAGCATTTGAATACGGTCGTGTTTTGTGCGACTGTTGCTGATAACCATGATGAACATCTGCAACGACTTCTATTTCAATAGCGCTAAAATAATGATTTGTTAATAAGTATTGAACGTATAAATACGTATGGGATTCTCTTCTACTTTGAGGAGAATTTGAAATACTAGCTAGACATAAGTTACTGAAGCCAGTAATATAGTAGCCCAAGCGTGCTAATGAGGAAGCCCTTAGCAAATGCTGCGCCCTGATTGGCCCATTTGAATTGCATCAACAACTGCTCATACGCCAAAAAGGTAGATTTGTATAAAAATCCCTTAATTATTATTATTTCTCATCGTGACACTTGTGGCGAACGGAGCTACATATTTATGGTCAGCTGGCATTGGATCAACAAAAGACACCCGGATCAACAAGTGAAAATGGATCAACAAATTGCTACCTATATGGCACGTTGGAGCTACAAAGTGCCCAACGGGATATATATATATATATATATATATGCCCAGTTAACAAACAGATACACCAGCTATATAACACGCAAAAACCTAGTCGCCTCCGTGTATGACATACTAAGCTCCGGTACGTCAAAAGGTGCATTGCTGATGTTTTTCGGAAGCGAAAGTGTAATTAAAATTTTCTGCCTATGTGCGCATTACACATTCGCTCGAACGGCGAAGGAAAACTTCTCGAGGAAACCACCTTGGACACAAAAAGTCGACGGCGGGTGTCAGGTTGCCTATTACTTGCCCATTAGATTGACAAATGATCATGAAACAGAAATCTGAGGCCTGGTTTTAAGATAAACTGAGAGCGAACTATGACTATTTACCTCATTTCAAAATCCAAAATATTTGGACTTTCGGGAGTCAGAATATTACCCATAGCCGTTCACGTATAAAAATTGTTACGAATGTTTCATTTATCGTAAAAAAAAAATAATTTAGTCGTAAAAAAACACATAATATACAACTCACTTTCCCATTTTCCTGTGTGTTCGGTTCCTTTCATCATCAGTATTTAAAGTTGCATTTGATGAGATGGTGATCAATTTATTCTCAAACTCATCATCACTCGAATGTTGCGACTGAAAAATAAAAGGTTTAATTATAGGTTTGTTGTTCCAGCCATTTTGGAGTCACAAGACATGGCTAGCAAGAAGGCAAGCGGCCGGATGGGCCGATTTTCTTTGATCTCTTGGAGGATGGGACGGGCTTTGGTATGGGATGCTCCTTGTGTGGACACGTTAGCCCTGTTTTACCTCCTTCGGACAAGTACAAAAGCTGGCGCGGCCGTAGAGCAGGCGGAAAATAATAAACAGCTGAAATATAAGAGTCTTTCCTCCAACTACGATTTGTTCCCTTTGGAGTAGACTCTTGGGCCGTGGGGTTCAAGTACACAGGCGCTTATGGTAAATCAATACATATTTAGTTATAGGTTCTGACAATTGAAGGAAATATATGTGTATGATCTTGTTATACAGATTAAATATATTTGCAGTGTATATATATGTTACTTTTGGTACTCGTGTCATTTGTCTATCGGTGTTTTTTTTTTGGAGTTTATGGCCTGGTAGTGTTGCCCAAAATCGGTCTTGGTCTTGCAGTCTTGGTCTTGTTCTTGCATTTTCGCAAGACCAAGACCGCCTTATTTTAGCAATACCAAGACCAAGACTGAAGCCTGCAAGACTTGAGCAAGACAATACTTAAGCCTGCAAGACTCTTGCGTCTTGCAGTTATGACAAACTGAGATTTGGGCGTTATTAAGTAGGTATTTGGTTTCATTCCCGATTTTGAGAGACGTTCCCCAGTATCAAAACTGTTGGTATCGTCATAACACTAAACGTGCCGCTCGTCTGAAAGAACCCTGAAAGGTATTGTATTGATTAGGTAGGTAAGTACTTATTATATTTCAACAATTTATTCACAAATCTGTTACCATGATCCCATGTGATAAAATTTACCCAGAATAACTTTCTAGCAAAGATTATACCTTGTAGGTATCAACTAACCTATAATAATGTATCATGCTTGTTTATGCCTAATGTGCAGATCTAACGTTAGAACTCGTGGGTTGGTATGTGCTTAAAATTATAGCCAACAAAATTAAATAAACATTATGTAAGTACCTACTTATGTTTCAAAGTTTATATTATTCTTCTATTTAGCAAAATTTAAAACTAACTGCGAGTCGAGTAGGTCTAGTTACAGTTTCTACGGCAGCCAATATTATGGTACAGACGCCAGCACATCAAGCTACTACAATCTGTCAAATTTCTTTAACAGATTTTCAACTTTATCGCTAAAGTATTAAGGTTCAAGGTTGATTGGGAAATTGTGACGTTCTGCGAATAAACTGTTGGTCGGTCGGTGTATTATATACCTACTTATTTGATAATTTACCGACAAAGAGGCCGCGGTTTGCAACGAGTGTATCACAGCATTTGACACTGTTTGAGCGCCGCATTCGCCGACAAAGAGTCCGGACAGAGGCACACAAAATTTTTACCTATTTTGGTAGAGTTGGTACAGGTGGATAAAATTAAATGACCTTGAAGATGTCTCAGCAGTAGGTAGGTATAAATTGAATGCTCTGAGGTACTTGTATTTAAATACATTCTCACACTGGCTCGAATTCGAACACTACAGCGTTTAAAGCTGTCGGGCGAGATGATAATTAATAACTAAGTAGGTATTGCATCTATTGAATTGAATTGTTAATATCGGTAAATGATAGATAGTGAGTGATATACCTAGGTACTAAAATGTGAGCAGCATAATTGAAAAGTGTTTATGCCATGTCAGTGCTTTCCATAAGTTTATTTTAAAAAAAAGCTATTAAGTAAGATTTAGAGTTTACCATTCAATTACATACAACAAATTATTGAAAAACAAAAATTATGAAAAAGATATTTAGACTGAGTACTTAGGAAATTAGTAGAAAAAATATTCTATCGTGGATACCTAGTTATTAAAAAGTGGATAAACGTTGTGTTTACTTAATTTTATTTTTCTGTGCTAATGCCAACATTGACAACCCCACCAAAATAAGTAAAAATTTAGTCCGCTTCTAGACTTTGTGTTGCCGCCGTCGCTTTCATGTCAAAGGTCGCCGCCACTGCCCATGTTCTAAAGAATAAAATAAGTTTCCGGGTGCTCAGAACGGACGCAAATAGATTATGTTGTCCTCGCAAGGAAGAATGTAGTCCTAAGGATAGGTAGATTTTATAAAAATTGTTGTAAGTAATAAAAATATACCTAGTTTATATTATTATAACCTATTATACCTTTTTAAAGGACATTGCACTGCAAAATTGGAAGTGGGTGATTTTAACAAACTTGAAACGTGGAAAAGCTCCAAATATGAGCGACGTCATATTGCTTTTCGCATTTTGTTTTAAAATCACACACTTCCAAAAATCGAGATTTGCAGTGTCGATTTATCAACTTCTATCGTACCTACTCTAGTAGCGACTATTGTCTTCAGCGATGATTTACTAAATAAATAAAAATAATCGTCATTATTTTTCTAAAGAATACAATTTTGTTGAAGTAGGTACCTTCATCGTTTCTTACTTACACATACTTTAACGACTACGTAGCAAAGCGCGCCAGTCACGAGTACGACAAATTGCCTAAAAAATGTACCTACGCACACTGTAATGAAATCTGCTAATCTCAACACACACGCACTTCCTTATTTTAGCCGCATAGGTAGCATAGGATAGCCCGCCAAACTCAATTTTTTTTTTGCAATTTGCAGGCTAGGGCTAGATTGTTGATTAAAATATTATTCGCGCTGTAAGACGTATGTAGTTACAGAGTCAACTACATACATACGTCTTACAGTGCGAATCATAATTTAAAATCTAAACTAACGTGTTCAATAAATAGCAATAGGCTAATAGGTATTTGCAAGTCTTGCGAGACTTGCGATACTCTTGCTGCAAGATCAAGACCAAGACCAAGACTGAGAGCGCAATACCAAGACCAAGATCAAGACCAGGTGTATTGTCGCAAGACCAATACCAAGACTGACCTAAGTCTCGTCTTGGTCTTGCATTTGGGCAACACTATGGCCTGGTATCTAGACCTTTAGGCCAAAACCTCTATTGGTGTTTTATTTAACAGGGTGTTTAGTTATTATTACTTACAGTATAAGCAAAGTTGTATTGGTGCCAGTTCTCGCTTTGTCCGGTTAAATCAAATTCATTAATTTCTCGCTTAACATCAATTTCGCTTTCACTGACATTAACATCGACATGATACAAACTTCTGATATCCGATAATTTTAAATCCATTTCCGGATCCGATTCTTCCTTTATTGGAACAGCATCCCATGGGATATCGACTTCGACAAACGTCTCTACTAATTTTTCTTCCTTCAACGGTTCTGATACTTCTGATTCTTTTGGAGTAATTTGATCTAAATTATTATCTGCCGGTCTACCTTCTTCTCGTTTCTGTTCATTCAATTGTATATCTCTTAGGTCGACTGTTATTAGTTTCTCTTTCTCCACCACGTCTACACTTTTTATAACTTCGATTTTAACATCCGATTCTGAATTTCGTGAAACGTCCGTTAGCAGAGTCTGTTTAATATTGGGTCTGTATTGTCTCAACTTTTTAATTTTATTCGGTTTTTGTATCTTCTGTATCACTTCAGGGCTTTCCGAACATTTCGTTTTCACAAACGCTAAAGGTAGCATTCTTTCTATATCGACTTCTGGATTTGTGCTGGAATGATTTATATATTTTTTCATGAATTCCATTTCTTTATATGTAATATCCATTGATTTTTTTATATTAGTCAATGACTTTGTGATATCTTCCGGAGTAGCTTTTACAGTTTGCGTGTTTGATAATTCTTTACCATGTACATACTGCGTGCGTCTATGTGTAGTAATTTTATTTAAATTTTTATGTGTAGATTCAACGGCCACTTCACTATCAGGTTCCCTTTTAATTTCATCAATACATATTACTTCATCATCTTTAATTCTGTTTCCATCCGAATGGCATTCAAATATGTCTTTTGTGTCTTTTGGTATTTGGATTACCATCGTTTTACATTCGAAATCATTTTGTGGTGTAACAGTATGTTTTGTTTTAGATGTTTGTATTTCGTTTTCAAGTGGTTCGGATTTGACATTAGCAATGACACAAGGGAGATCATCGTTAGGTGCGTCATCAGATGGTACAACAATAACTTCAGGCACATTATTAATGATGATGACATCATCATATTCATCTCTATCATTCACCATATCTTGAGTATTATGAGACAATATAAGAGTATTTATTGGACTATCAACCGTCGCTGTAAAATTTAAATTTTGACTATGGATAGAAACAGAAAGGATATAATATGATTTATTATACGGTAAAATGTATGTTTTACAAGAATACTCACAATCATGTTTGGCTGGCGTAGATTTTAATCTATCCACTATGGTTTTTGGGACGGAAATCTGAAATAAAAAGTATTTGAATTGGCAAGGGCACACACCACATGAATATATGAGCAAATTAAAATGAAAGTGTATTGAGCTGAAGGCAGTATAAAATATAAATACCAAAATCCTCCAAAAGGGAATTGAATGGGTTCTACATTACAGGTAATTTTTGATAAGCTTTCTATCCTTGCTAACCAATGGACTAAGGACACAATTATTTTACCGGCATGAACTGCCTTAAATAAGGTTTTTTTTATTTAAAAATGTACCATATAAAAAAAATACAAAACCAATGGCGCTACAAGCTTTAATACACTGTTCTACCTTATTAAAGTAAAGAAAATTTAATACTTACAAGATCATAATCAAAATCGCGATTGGAATGATAAAACATTTTGTGTTTTTGAATCTGTTCCAAGTCAAAGATTATAAAAAAATTACAGGTGAGGCACTTGTACGCCAATCCATAGTTCATCGTATGACGAAGTGCGTGGAGATGTGTTGAACAACTATTTACTATTTTCACTTTGCATCTGAAAAAAAGAAGACTATAATAACCATGGCGGGCAGTTTATTACCAGTTCTCGTCCGTTCATTAATAGTATGTTTGGATATTTGGATTAAATTTTCAAAAATCGATATGTCAAGCACACCCTGTTTGCCGTGGTGTCGCCCTTCATCCACCAAGGTTAAACCCCTTAATGTACTTTGAGTTTACATATAATGTTACAGCAATAACAAAACAACTTACACGTGGCAGGTGACGTCCCATTCAATCTGATGGACTGCAGCACTGCTTTTGGTGACCCTTTTATTGCACGCACCACAAGTCTTAACATACTCTTTAGATTCACAAACATGATCATCTTCATAGGAAATCGGGTCCTTGCATTTCTCACAAACAGCACAGCCCGGTATGGGCACATCGGACCGGACAGAATGCCGCAATATCATGTGATTTATACTGTCCTCCTGTTTGAAAAAGTAAAACCGGCACAGGTGACATTTAAATATCTGCTCGGCTGACGCGAAAAGGTCTAGGTGCATCTTTTTGAACCCCTCGCAGTGCCACTGGTGTTGGCGTAGCTTGCTGCACGTGGAGAACCGTTTCTTACATCCGACACAGTTCTTCAATTTCGTATGTTCGAACGCATTTTCGCCGCATTTCCAGCATTTCCCTTCTATGTTCGCAATGTACTTGTTCGCCGATTTGCTGTAGTAAGCGACAATATTGCACTCGACGTTGTCATTCATTTCTAGAGCGACGCAGAGGCTCGAATGCTCGTGGGTTCGTATGTGGTCGCGAAAGTAGGCCAAGTGCCACCACGCCATATCGCAGATGTAGCATTTGTAGAATAACGGCGGATCTCTGGGCTCCTCTGTGAGGGAGGCCCAATGGCACCATTGTGTGAATGCTCGGTCTAATAGTTCCTCGTGGGGCGTTTTTACGAATACTTTTGCGTCCGGTTTGCAGGTGTTGAGGACCTGACAAGTTATCAAACAAAAGATAGAAACAGATATGTTGGTGGCAAGAAATGTATCTTAATTCAGGTTTCTTGCTTGTACTGTCAATATATAGCGGGAACAGCTTCATTTAAATTAGAGTAATAATGTGAGAGACCTATTTTATATTCCATATCATAAAATATAAACGTAATCCCCCAATCCATGGTTTAAAAAAAAAAAAGGTTTTGCTTTATTTACTCAATGTTATGTAGATGACAATTAAAAACGCCTTGAATAATGTCAATCTGGGTTTCATTTAATGTTATAAATAAAATAAAACATGATTTTAAAATTACAATGAAGTTTCTGTTAAATGGGGCATATTTTAACTACCCAAAGAAATGAAAAATACAGAAAACTAATTTGAAAGAAACATATTCAGGTAATTTGACATGATAACCTCAATGTCTACAAATCTATAAACAATTATTATTAAGGAATCAAACTTAGGCATTCCAGGTTATTTGTGCCCCCTATGGAGACTATAGATCAAATAGCTGTTCGAACAACTATATATGTGTTTTCTTAATCAAACATATATATATTGGTTCTTACCAATATATCAAAATTAAATAATTAGTTCCTTTCAAGCTTACCTGTCCATGTAGTATTTTATCAAAAATATTATTTGATTGAAGATAAATTTCAGTAGATATTTTCACTATTTCCCTCCAACTTATTATTTCCTGCTGTTCTTCTATTACATTCTCTACTTTTAGCTTAATGTCAAAATTCATCGGCATAATATTACTTCGGACTGGATTTACTTCCTGAATGGTATTTGTGTTTGTTTGACTAGATTGAGTAGCAATATCTACTGCAGGTAGTGCTTTTTTACATGGTCTATTAATTGTTGCTGATGTACTCTCCACGACACTCTACAAAAAATTATAAAAGAACTGAAATCATTTGTGAATTAATAAAATGTGGTGAGTAAAAATGTTTTAAGATAATTATTAAAACAGAAATCCAAGGATGTGACTATTACTATTTACCCAGAACATGTATTGAAATATGTTAATGCTTTAGAATCTGTTTATTTATCTACTTTTCAAATTATTCATAATTCATTTTCTGTTAGTTTCTATATCAATCAAAAGTTTAATTGGAGGGGGTACCAAATAAATTGCCTAATTAATAAAATAATATTTCAATAAATTGTCTTGCATTGTTAAATATATTTACTGAAAATTTCCAGCATTGCAACATTCTTGATTAATTGCATACCATCGTTCAAATTTACAAATTAACTTTGTAAAAAACAATACATTTGCTATAAAATGCCTCAAACAATCTATTAATATAAACATATTACAAATCTGTAAATAAAAAATAGGGTAGATAAGTAAGCATAAAAATCAATAACAAAACATGTTTATCTATTGTTAAATTTAATAAGGATATTAAAAAATTTGGATATTGGATTATATTTTCGAATTACCTACATAACTTTTTAAGCAAGGTGGAGCAAGCTTCGTTTTTCTACATTTTCTTATATCATTATCCATTTGTTATTTAATTTGGAAACATACAAAAATCTATTCACAAAGTGAAAATCGTCACAAAACAAAATAATACATGATGCACCTTTAACTATGAAAGTTCAACCGATTCATTGAAAAGGTACGGCACGCGTTCTAAAAACTGACACATTTTTTGTTTCTCAAGTTTGTTAACACATAGAAAAAAAAATATTTAAATATCGCTTAACTCAAGTCAATTTTGAAGGCAATTATATAATAGTGCAATTCACGAAGACGCGCCCCACCTTTCCTCCTGACTGGTTATAGACTTTATATGTGTGCAAGCGAGAAAAATACTAATCAGGGGAGAGGGTCATGGTCAAAGTGAAAAATGCTCTACTTAAATTTTATACACCAATATCAAATTCCTATAAATTAAATTTTCGTGCTCTTACCCTTCTCTTCTTCATAGGTGATGTAAAAATAGAAGCATTTCTGTCTACTAAATTTGAATTCGAAGTACTCGCTTCATTTTCAGAATCGATATCCGCTTCCAAAGTCGGCTCTGTTGCACGCTCCGCACTTGGAACTATAGGAACTATCGCATCTGTCTCCGTAGTTATATTCGATTCCAAAGCAGGTACTGTATTTTGCTTTATTGTATTACTATATTCCTTTCTTTCGCGCAGAATTCTAGTCACTGTGCTTTCAGATACTCCAACAGCCTGTGCGGTTCTCCATCGAGCATCAGTGAGTTTTTCTGCATAATTTTGATTGGCTTCATTTTTCATAAAATCATAAACTTTTAAAATAATTTCTCTTGCCTAAAATAAAAAAAACATCATCACTTTTAAAGATAAAATGAAGTCTTCTTATAGTAAAATTTGCTATTCTCAAAATTAAATTACTTTCCTTTGCTTATTTAATGTGTTTTTGTAACTAAAAACTTTTAAATAATAATTTACATACCTGGCTTTTAAATACAACACGCTGAGATTTTCTCGACATTTTACAGAATATAAAGTAGAGCCACTTTCGTGACGACTCTGGAATTTCACAATAAAGGATGTACTACTCGTATGCATCGAACCGCTGACGGATCGCAACTGACGCCAGGGTTGCCAGCTCCTACAAAATGTTCCCCCTAGGACCAACTTCAAATACCCCTAAATGTCGATCAAAAACCCCTAAAGTTTTTGGTGTATACTTGGTTTGATAGGTAATTTCAAATCTGAATTAAAAATACGTTGAAGTAGTAATAAATAGCTGTTGTATTTATGTGAGTACATTTTACATATTTGTATTTGTTAATCGATGACCGAATAATATTAATGATAATACAATGAGATGAAACGATCCTTTTTTTTATTTCTTAACTTTTCTTTCTTCGAATTCAGTTTTTCTTAACGTTTCTTGTCAGACACTTTTTGCGTTTTCGTCAATTTCTTTTCATAAATTATTTTTAAAGCTTTTTGTACTTTGCTTTTTATCTATTCCGTTACAGTAAAACGAGACAGAATTAAAATAAAACAACGAATTGCTTCAATGTTCTTTTTTCCTTTTAATACAATATTATTAAATGTCATTAGGATAAGCTTCTAATATTTCGTCGAAAGCACATATAGCACTGCGTTTTGTTGCTGATATTTTTGAAATCGTACATATTGACGTTAAATATATCAGATTTGATCATACAGTTAGAAGGAACAAATTTGACACAAGAAATTATTGTTATTCGATATTTAATCTGTACCTAGTCTTGGAGTTTATATTTGGTTTAGTTTGTTTATTGCGTTGGAAGCTTAATATAAATTTTATAGAATCCTGTATTTGTAGAGAAAATCATTCTTGAATAAAGTACTCCCTAAAAACCCCCTTGGACATCTTGATTACCCCTAAATTTGGGGGGAAAACCCCTAAGTTGGTAACACTGACGCTAGTCGCTCGGAGCAAACCCTGCACGCCGCGAGCCCCTCGACCAAAAATTTACGGGGCGCGTCTTCGTGAATTGCACTATCTATAATTCTATTAAACTGATTCTATTGTATATCTCCATTCTTCACTCGGTGGACGATGTCGCATGTCGGTTAGGCAGCCTGTAGTGCGTTGAGAAATTAAATTTAAACCAGTTTTCCTTACCATTTCTCCAATTAATCTATAATTATCCAAAATCCCACATTTTGATACAATTACTTTTGTTAAATTAACCTATACTCATATTATGTTTAAGGAATAATAAGTGTGAAAAAGGTGACTAACAAAAATGATAACTAAAATAATTTATTTTGGGATTGTTTTATAGTAATTTAATGATTTCACTATGTGGAGCCAGCTGCCCACTAAAATTACTCTTTATACATAAAAGTTACCATTATCTGGTGTAAAGTACTGGAAAGTTGAAAATAATATTAACAATAACGCGTAATTCAATCCGCCCCGCATCGTAACGTTTTACAAAAGGAACCCCTACATTTGTTACGTAATACTTCTGTGTATTATACTGCTTACTCTCATTAAAACTTTATTTTTCACATTGACTGATCACAATATTGTCATAAATTAAAAACCTTTAATGGGTCTTGGCATCAGATTGCATCCATTTCTTTGTTTTTTGTAAAGACAAGTAAATCAGCCTTCTGTTTCTGACACAAGTCGATTTTGCCTAAGACATGCCAGTGTTCTTACTTCTCAGTGAGCAAGAAGCACATACTATGAACGTCCATTGATATACAGCAAATCAATCGCAAGAAGTCAGGGTTCAGAGTCGTATGAACAAGCCACTAAGCCAACAGTTAATTAGTTTATAAACTTAAACTGTTAAATAAAAATGCTATTAGTAAATACATTTTTATTCGACAAAATAACATGTAGCGAAATAACAAAAATATCAATTTCAATAAACAGAGTTTTTCACAATTGAATATTGCAGTAATGCGTAATATTATATTATTTAATGTTCATAGAGAATAGAACGAGATGTCTCCAGCTGTCTAACGCATAACAGTGACAAAAGTCGACTTCATCTAGTTTAGGATGACATTGTAAAAGTGATTTATATAGTCCTACTTGCAAGAATAAACTATTTCATTTCAAAAAGCTAGTCTCACAAATGTCCTTGCAACAAGGAAGAATTTTAAATTTAATAATATTTTGGCCTAAATTTAAATTACTTATTAACAATTTTCAGTGCTCAAAGTGCTGTGTGAATTTGTCTATTTCGTAGAAATAATTCATTTTATAATTAATTGTATGTCCTATATATAAACTGTTATATGGAATGACAAAAATATAACTATCACTGATAAAAATCTATACAAACTTCATACATTAGTAAGTTAACCGCTTTGAAAAAACCTAAAACGCAGTACGACCCTTCAGATGTAGAGCAATACAAAAATGTACCTATAGTAATAATTATTTTTGGACCAACCATAGAGTGAACTGTCAAATTTATCCACAGATTATTAAGCTAACGAAAAATTACTCTATATATATAAAAACTACTCTGGTACTTGACATTGACAACTTCACTATCGGCATGTGTGATAATATCAGGCGCCAAATGCCGTTTCAAATTACTTTTCCCGATATTTTGCATCGCATAAATTGCAGTCTGCCTGAACCTCTCTTTCTCTGTGTACCTGGAAACTGTGTTTATAAACAAATACTTAAAAAAATCCTAGTGTTTCCGTTACATATGATTGATTTGAACATTATAAATTAAAACTGCAGAATAATTACAAATTTGTAGTTTAGTAACATCTAACAGTTTCCACTGAAGTATTTCCGAAGAAATTCGAATAAGGGTTCTTCAAAAGCCCTTGCGAGCCCTCTGGCATTGAGTGTCCATGAAAGGCGGAATCGCTTGTTACCACAAGAAACTCCTGCCCGTTTGCACCCTGTTAATAAAAATTTAGTGCTTTTGCTTACATTCCACATATGGTCCCATTTGACCCTCGTGGAAAATGTTGACTGCACTCATGACATCTAAACCTCGGCCGTGGGGTGCCGGCTCATAGAATAGCACCTCTCCATCTCTACCCGTGGGTGTCGTAAAAGGCGACTAAGGGTTATTAAGGCGTAGGGAAGTGACCCCATCGCCCTCTGGTGGGATAACACGACGCGTAAGCCGCTCCCGACTGGTTCTTGCTGAAAAATCTAGCGGGATGCGGCCTGAGAGAGAGACACTAAAAAAAAAAAAAAAAAATATATATATATAGTGTTTCGTAGCATACGAGGCCAAGGCGCTCGTGATGTTGGCGAGCCAGGCGCGAGGCTGATTTCGGACATTTGTGTTACTCATTCATATTTATTTATGTCCAGAACACCTGAATTCCAAGCTTTGGTGCCCGGTGATGGAATGCATGGCCGGAGGGTTAAATCCGGTCATTAGGGTACCAAAGAGGGGAGCTACCCCTCTTTAATATGAAAAGCAGTAAAAGCATGGAAAGTAACGAAAATGTAAAAACTACCCCAGGAGGGTTAAATCCCTCCCATGACCAGGAGGTCATGGCAGCCGGTCCGCATCGTATTCTGGGGGCGGACCACTCCCGTGCAACAGATTCCAAAAACAAACAACCTGGCATTAATACGGAACAACTGAATAAGCTTACGGACTGTAGCGGAAGGTTGGAGGAGTGCTCTAGCGCTTTTCCGCCACCATCTACACAAGGAGAGAAAACTGTACCAGGAGAGCGCAGAGGTCCCCTCGAGCGCATTCCGAGTATGGATACATCATCGGCGCGCAGTGCGACCAGGAAATTCACCATGGCTGACGAGATGGAATCAGACTCAACCGGCTCCATGGTAAGCATAGGCTCAACGCACAACCATCAGAGTCCCCGAGTCGTGGGTGAAGCTCCTTGCACCCCGGGGGAGAAGCTGCGCTTTTGGCGACCTCGTAAGAGAACGAGACAGGATGATGAAGAGAGCAGCTGCAGCGATAGCCCGAGTCTGTCGCGCGATCGCACGAAAGCGGGTTACCAAAGAGCGCGGAGGGTGGAGAGAGAGCGAAGCCGAGGCGGAACTCGCGGCTTCAAATGAGAAACCCTCAGAGACGGGTACGCTCGGTAGCGCTAGAAGACGAATTGAAGAAAACCTAGCTGCCGTAGAGAAGGTGGCTAGGTGTTCAATGAACCTCAAAGGCACCTTCGTTGCCGCACTCAAGAAGGCCGTTGTTGCAATTAGGACAGATGCAGATAGCCTAGCAGTGCAAACACTTTCAGACGAAACACGCGCCCTTCAGATAGAAAATGAACGCCTTCGGGCACAACTGGATCTCTTACAAGACCAAATGCGCGAGCTCAGGTCGTCAATGCAACAAGCTCGGAAGGATTGCCCACCTTTCAACGTAGAAGAACTGGAGGCTCGAATTATCCGCCAGGTGGGGGAGCGCCTAAATACTCAATTTGAGGATATCGGACCACAACCCAACCAAGAACCGCCACTACGTTCCCTTCTGGCTACAGACTGCAGAAAAAACACAAAAAGCAAGTCGAAACCATCACTTAAAACGTCGACGCGTGAGGACTTCCTTATTGAAGCAGCAGCCCCGAAGACGAAGCGGGGAAAGGAGAAGGCAATCCAGCAGACAGAGCCGACTGCCACAGGGGAAAAGGCGCAACGACAGTCGAAACGTCAGGCGAAAGCGGCAAGATCGAAAATGATGGAAGGCGAAGACCTCCCTATAGCCTCACTCGCAGTTGCATCCCCGCACACCCCCCCCTCTATCGCTGTCCATCCCTGCCGCGGAGGGCTGGAAAATTGTCTCCAAAAAAAGACAAAGTGCAAC